GAGTTGCATCTGGTGGTGCCTCTCCAACTCCGAACCTCGCTGCTCTCACTCTGAAGATTCCACCTCCTCCACCAACGAGTGATGGCACCACTCCAGCAGTTCAGCTTAAAGTTCCAGCAATGTCTTCATTTCTGAAGCCCAACAAGAACATGCCAACTACACCTAGTGCCTTGCTTTCTGCCCAGAAGTTACTCAATAGCAGCAAGGAGAAATCCTCAATCGCGGGTCTGTTCTTCAAGCGCAGCACGCCTGGATCTTTGGAAGTTGTGACAGCTGAACAACAGAAAATTCTCGATGAGCTGGAGGACATCAAAGCCGACATTGAGGGAGTGATGCAGGACGATTTTTTGGGGATAGAGATCGTCCACGCAGCAGTGGAAGAGGAACTAGAACGCCTTGAGGAATTGCGCACCTGGCATGACGAGCACGACTACTTCGCGCAGAATGTGGAGGAAAAAGCGGTCTTCTTCAATGCGCAGAGTATCGGAACAACAGGCGAACTAACTACGAAACCAAAATCTGTTATCATTATCGTACTTTTCTACTTAAGAAACTTGATAATGATAACAGATTTTCTTTTCATACTAACGGACTTGGACGACGTGTTTTCGCGAAAGCGCTGGATGTTTAGGGAGCAAAGAAGACGAGTGCGAGAAGACGCAAGGGAGCAAGAGGGTTTGCCAATCAAGGATAGGGACTACGAGCAATATATGAAACAGAAGAAAATCGACGAAGGGTTGGGGTTGCTTCCGGGGGCTGATGATATGCGTATTAATGCTCGTGAAAAAATTTGCAATCGCTTCTACTCGATGTTACCTGTCGAAGTACAAAAGGTGCTCATCAAATTTGGTTGTGCAGCATGCTGTTGTGCAAAGAGAGGACCACGAAAACGAGCTTCGAGTGGAACGTCAATCCACAAGAAGAAGCAACCTGCAGATACATCTTCACCATCACCAAAAATTGTCGTGAAGCCGCCAGCGTCAGTTGAGGAACCATCATCTGCAGGAGGAGGCGACCTTTTCTCCCGCCTTCGAGCGTTGAAAAAGCGAGAGGAGGCGGAAGCTGCAGCTCTACAAGCACAGCAAAGTGGTGCAGCTGCTGGTGTAATCAAATCACCCTTGATGGGTGGTCTTGCCGCGCATGCAAGACGACAATGGGAGCAACAAGAGGAGAGTGGTGCTGTGTTAAAGGAGGCGAGTCGTACCAGTGAACTGGAACCCAGTCTGAATGCTTCTGCTTCTCCTGGAGCTACAAGTGGCTCTTCTATTCAGGAAATTGAAGCTTCACCTCCGCCTACTACCACAAACAAAGAGCAACTGTTGGCACAAGAGGGTTCGCATTCTGCACCACCTCAGGGATCAGCGGGGAAGGCGAGAGGGCGAGGACTAAAGTTTCCAAAAGCGGCGGCTGCACCAGATCCTGTGAGATCGCGAAGAAATACTCCATCTCCATCCGAGTATCCATATTCACCTCCCACGCCCTCTTCGAGTAGTTCATCCAGGTCGCCGCCTCGTCAAAAGAGAGAAAAGGACGAGGCCCAACAGGAGGAGCCACAACACTCGGCCAGAAACAGAAGTGATGAAGAAAGGTCAGGTAGGTTCAGTGAGTCACCAGGAGAAAGTGGTGGAGGGTTGAGCGCTACCATATCTCCAGTAGGCAACGGTATGCGAGATCGTGACCGGGAAGAAAACTTTCGTAGAAGTCGCATAGAAGAAGGCGCGCCCCTTGAAGAAGAACGAGCCTCCACGCAACAATATGATGGAGGTGGAACAACGTCCAAACGCAGAAGCCTGAAGCAGAATCGCAATGGAGGACGCAAGAAACGTCAAAGTCAACGAAGGTCATCATCTCAGTATAATCCTGCCGAAGAACAATTCTTGAGTGACCAGCACTCTCGCAGTGTCATATTGCAAGAAGTTGTTCAAGCAGGACGATCTTCGGATGACGAACTGGAGCAGTTTTCTGATGGCGCTGACCTGTCACAAGAAAACCCACAGCACCAGAAACTCCCCTTCCTCTATGCAGCAGATGAGGCTCCACCTCCAGGTACTGAAGAACCACAAGAAATCAGAGGAGGAGGTGGGTTGCAGCTCAGATCTAGGCTTGCGGAGATCGATAGACTACAAGAGGAAAAGGAGCCAGGAGGTTTAGATGCAACTAATGCTAATGCACTTGGCGAAACTATCCTCCCACCAAGTAAAGAACGACCTCGCCCTCCTCCTTTAGCAAGTGTCAAGAGCTTGTCACAGCAAAACACGGCGACGACTCTGACTGCGCCTGAAACCAAAACTAGTGCTGCTCCTTTATCAACAACTGCTGAAGGAACGGGTAGTGACAAGCACGCATCGGCTGCCGCTCTTCTTGCTGCAGCCACAGCGAAGCCTAAAGATCGATTCGTGATGGACCCTGCGTTCTTCGATATGAAAAGATTCCCCACTCACGACTTCTACAAGATGCTTCAAGGTCATCGCCCGAATGCACTAACGGCCAAGCTTGGCCGTACCGCTGAAAACAAGATCGAAGCCTTTCTGAATGGCGTAGTTTCGATGGGAGAAACAGTAAACCTCATGCACACGTACGAAACGGTCTCGCATGACATCGACGTTTCTGCGACTGTCTTGGCCAAGGAAATGACGTCCGCTAAGATCCGAGGAATGGACATCTTTGAGGACGAAGATAGTAGAACCTATTTTGCAGACCCTTGGAGCACGCTGCAGCTGTGGCGTGATGGCGTGGAGCCAGTGCCAGGCTACACGGCTCCATTGCTAGCGTCGATGAGAAATCTAGGTGTACAAGACGGTCGTGGGGTGATGACAGGGCTTGGGGCAGATGGAAAAGCTCTGGACTATGTGAAGATGGCAGAGCAGGAGGAAGAGAGAAAACACAAGAAGGTGAAGCTGAAGTCACAACAGCAGGAAGACGATGGTGGAGCAGAAGATGAAGTTGATCCTACAACAGCCTATTTCCATCTCGAGCGCAGATTTGTGTCCTTCTTCCGACTCGTCGACTTCGAGGCACTACAACGGAGACTAATCATCACCCAGGGCAGCAAAATTGTACCGCTGTACTTGTGGTTCATTCCGTTCTTCGGTGTCTTCTTGGCAAAGATTTGTGAATACATGAACCATACGTTTGTGTTTGACTATGAACCGTTCACATACGCCCGTGATGTGACTCTGGGATACGAGGACCTCATCCACGACGACGACGACGCAGGTGGTGGAAAAGCTGCTTCAGGCGGCAAAGACACGAAGAAGAACAAAGTTAAGTCTCGTACTGATTCTAATAATTTCATCTTCACTAGTACCGTTTCACGACTTTCAGTTACAGAGCTTTTTCCTCAGATTGATTCCCTCGCTCTAGGATTCGCACCATTGTTCGGTGAGTACGACCTTAAAACGTCAATCATTCTCCTGAGGCTGAGCTCTAACAAAGGAGGTGGAAACGCAGGAGGAGTGTCTGGTGAACTCGACAACGAAGACTCTGACGCTGACGGCAGCTCATCGGAAGAGGACGACTTCAAAGAACAACCCATCTATCGCGCAATGGCGAAGCAACGAGACGACTTTCTCGCTGAGCATCGCTCGGATCAAGAATGTCTCGAGTTTTCCATTCGACGCATATTGAATGGCACACTTTGTTGCTTGCTCTTGGTGAATCCGGTGATCGCAGACGCATTGTTTCTGTATGTTTTACTCGCACTGGGCTTTTTCGTCGTCTGCATTCTATCGATCTTAGATGAGGAATACCGCTTAGCTTGCGCATTGTGGATCTGGTCCCAGAAACCGCGTTTGTTCCTGTTTCACCGCTTGAACGAATTCTACGACATGATTGTGAGAAGAGTAAGGTTTTATGCTAGGGCGTGGTCGAACGCTGTTGACCCCAAAGCGGCAGCGATGGAAGCAGTGCAAAAGGAGAAAGACGACGTCAAGTTGCAAAGGATTCAGAACGAGTGGCGTTTTTCGCGTATGCAAGAGAGGAATGCACGAACGATGGAACCGGAGAAAAAGCTTTTCGTGGATTTCCGTTCTTTGCTTGAAAAAGTCGTGCGCAAACCCAATGCACCGCAGAAATTCAAGACGAAGCACTGCTTGCCTCGTAAGAGTGGGCCTATGGGATTGAGCGAAATTTTCTATTACGGTGGCCTTTGTCGCGATCCCACTGTCCGCTTAACGATGCGCTATGGCAACTCTTGGCGCAAACGGGGAAGCTTTCTCACGTTCGCTGCCTTTGTCAGACCGAGACGACGCGTTTTGCGCTTGAAAGAAGACGAGTTCGACGGGGTGGAAGAGATCGGTGCTGTGACGTGTCTAGATCCGGAGCTAGAACCGTTTAGGCGACTCCGTTTACGCGAGAACAAAGCTAGAAGGCGGCGCGGTTTAGGTCGCGGTTTGTGCGGGATTACGAAGAAAGAAGTTGTAAAGGTGGTTGAGAATCCTGATTTCGAAGACGCTAGGTGGGAGAAGGCCAAACGCAGGCGAAGGCGGTTTAGACAGCGAGCTTTCCTGATAAAATGGCACGGTCGTAAAGGAGGCGTCCGGAGTCCACTCAGCGGTCGAAGCCGCCTACTCATGAACAACAGCAAGGAAGAGCTAGACGCCAAAGGGCTGCTAGACCAAATAGCTGAGGCAGACGGCGCAGGTGAAGGAGGTGCTGTTCCTGTTGATCCGATGAAAATCAAAGTGCGCTTTTCTGAGGAGGATGAGCAGAGTCTAGTTAGTGCGGGAAGCAGCGTTGACTTGGTCGAAGACTACCAGCACGTGAATCAAGAAACGGACCGCGAAGAGATCGCGAAAGCTAAGGCGTTGGAGAAGCACAACTCGATTCCGACATCGTCGAGCTCTTCAAGCGATGACGCGAGCTCTGACGGTGGTGATCCTGAAGCCGCAGCCTATAGGGTTCAGAGCAAGAAACGGCGGATGAAAGCACTCGCAAGAAAAGCCGCAGAAGCAGAGAGGGTCAAAGAAGGTGGAGCGATTGAGGAAAACAAAGAAGAACAACTTCGAGATGATGAGATCTCAACAGTGCAAGCGCTGAATCACACGTATAGACGGATGATTCGACTGTTTATTGCAGTGTCGATGTCCCATGCAGTTTTTGTTGGTGGTGGCTTGTGTTTAACAGTGAGCTGTGCGTTTATGACCCAGGAGTATAAAACCGTTTGGCCGTTGTACGAGCAATCAGTTTTGAAAAAAGAAGACGATGAAACACGAAGACGGCTTGGGGGGATAGGGAGAAGGGAGAGGCAACTTTCGGCAGCTACATCTGGGTTGAAATCATCGCGTGAAGAAGATGAAGACGGCAACAATAAAATAATGGGTAACACTGTTACTCTTACTGTTGAAGCGGAAGAGGAGGAGGAGGACCGCAGCGATGAGGACCTGTCTCTGTTCCAAGAAGGTGTTAGCGATGACGAAGTCACCCTAAGACGAGCCATGCGGTCCGTTGCTGAGGCAACAAATACTTCATTTGCAAAGGTGTATTCTTCCTGGACTACGACTAAAAACCACAGTAGGAGTAGAGCAGCATCTTCTCTTTCTCTAGCAGATTCAGAATCTGAAATCCAACGCTCACTCCAATTTCAAGTCCTCGTTCCTCAGCCTCCACCGATCCGCGAAACTTTCGCTCCACTGGACGAGGTCACACACAATCGCATCAAGTTTCTCACTTTGATGGCGATTATTTTCAGTATTGCGTCAACCCGCTTTGCTCTGTACGTCTACGGTCGGATGGAACGTACAGTACGGACGAAAAGCGAAAAACTAACCAAGATGATCCCGATTTATCGTGTAGGCTTTGGGATCGCGAATATTCTTTTCGCGTTGTTCTTCGTCGAATTCGCCGCAAAGAGTCTGTATCTGATCAATGGCTGCTTGTTCGATCAGTTGCCATTCTGGCTCTTCAGGCCCGACTTGGACCAGACGCAGCGAGCATCAACCACAAAGGGCGATAGCGATCGTGCGATCTATGATTACGGCTCGACGTCTCCAGACGCTTCGAATTTGCAATCCTCAGGCGACTACTATGTCCGATTTTCCGAGACCGATGGTGTATATGAAACCCGCGAAGACTCTCCTTTCTACGTTTTCTTGAATTTGATTCAGATCTTCCTATTGCTGTTCACGGTTTTCTTTGTCTATCTGCCAGCGCCAGCGATGATTTTCGGCTCTCCCTTGTTCTTCAAGGGGAGGTTAGGTGACGTAACCAGCAGCATGAGCGTCGAAGCGTTGAAATTGGCGGTCCGTGAGCGTCGTAATGTGCTCTTCAAGAAAGACAAGCGAAAGCTGCGGAAGAAATACGGTGGCAGCTTACTCGCTGATACGGAGAAGAGCACTAAGCAAGGAGGTCGTGGCGGTAGCGGTGGTGGTCAAGAGGCACAGCTGATGGCGGAGATCAAGAAGACCCGCATGCGAAACAACGCCTCTGGGGCAACGGCTCTGCAAACACGTGTAGCTGGTTCGCATGCACGCATTCCTGGCACCAGTATTCATTTGGAGAAGTTTAGTCGTTCGCGCAAAGGCGTCAACGTGATTCGTGGGGACTACGGTAGAGACTTTGCCACTTTGAACGACGATCTTAGAGCCGACGCACAGAGGAGAGCTCTCGAGACCAGAGCATTGAGGAAAGCAGCGAGCGAACGTGAAGGTGAAAAACTAGCAGCTCAGATAGCGAGTCTAAATTTAACAAGACTGACCACGTCTGGAACTGGAGGTGTTGCTTCAACAAGGACAGGAAGTAGGGAACTTGCTTCAAGATCAACCACAAGGGACCACAAGCGTGGTGTTCATACCGAAGGCCGTCATACAATGTCCGCGGCGCCTGGTGATGAAGGAGACACCGACGAAAAGTCCTCTCCATCGCTTCGTTCTCCATCGCTTCGTTCTCCCAGTCCTAAGACAAGTAGAAAGAATTCGACGTCGTCACCTTCAGTTTCTTCACCATCAACGCCACGCGCTCTGAAGATGAGTCGGAGTCGTTCTATCAGCAGACAAAGTAGTGGAGGTGTTACTAGCGAAGCAGATGATAGCAAGTCGTCCTCGCCAGTGCGACAGATTGATGTAGGCAGCTCACTCTCGAGCTCAAGACTAGATAGCCCTTCTAGAAGTGTGCTAGGTAGTCCTTTTAAAGGTGCAGGAGCGTTGTACGGTAGTAGAAGCAGAAGCGATTCCCTCGTACATGAGGACTTGGAATCCGGAAAAACGCCTGTGGTTGTCAAAGATAGGTCAATCACGGTTGACTCCCTTGACATTGCGCTGCCTGGGAGCGTGCAGAAATCAGTATCAGGCAGGGGACTAAACCAGCACGGGTCATCGACTCCAAGGTCTCCTTCCACCAAGGATGCCGCACCTCTCAATCAAGCTATTAAACCTGCTGAAAAGAGGCAGAAGAAGATTGTCAGTGCTTGGGAACAAGAGAGCGACTCTAAAAACAAGGATCGAAAGAAAAATATCAAGAAGGACAAGAAACAGACCAGCGGAGGAGACAAACGAGGACCTGCCAGTAGCTCCCTAACTTCCCGGTCACGCTCAGACGTACTGCAGACAGCCTCTCGCACATCAAAGAGCCAGCAACAACTCAGCAAGGTCAACAAAGACCATTCTACAAGAAGCAATTCCACTTCCACTCGCAGCAAGCAGGAGCAACTCTATGCTGCGGGATACGACAATGACCAGTCCTTCCAATGGGACGCGCCTAGCCAAGACAGACGTCCGCGACATCTCAGACGTGTGATTACCACAGCAGAAGAGATGCAAGCATTGAGAAAGCGTAGATTTGATGGTTTTGCTGGTACCTTTTCTATAGACCGAATGCGAGACATGCAGTATGAAGCTGGGTTGCAAGGTGCTTTGGGCCATATGTACGATGTCGACGGCTTCGATTTCAAGCAACGTCCTGGCACTGAGGTTGTAGCGACTGGCGATGTCAATTATCGCAAACCCAAACATTTAGACGACAGACCAAGAACCAAAGAGGAGAAGAGGAAAGCGAAGAAGGCACAGAAAGAAGCGGAGAGGAATGGGACGCCTCTACAACCTGCTACTTCTGGTGCAGGTGGTGGCGGAACAATGGGAGGAGGAGGAGGAGGAGGAGGACGCTCGTCAGCCAAAGATCGTAACGTCGACACATCAACTACGAAAAACGCAGATGAGGGCGTTGACCAACTGATGGTAAAGATCGACTTCATGGATGTCGTAGCGCTCTATCTCAAGGACACGCCACGCATCATGACGCTCTATCTCGGTATCGCAGTTTCGATGCTCTCCATCACGCACTTCATCTTGTTTTTCCCTGTCTACGACGTTTTATACCAGGGACTGGACTTCTACATCTTCCCATTGCCCTTGTTCTTGGGTCTCTGCGTGGGGTTCGCGTATTCTTACCTTCTAGCCTTGCTTTACGAGATGAAGAAGTACGTCTCTTACTTGGCATTGGTTGTCACGACGATTCTCTTTTTTGGGTTGTACATGTTCGGCCACGTGAACTGGGACCCATTGCTGGCTAGCTTAGTGGGGGAGGTGGTGCACGATCCTGCAGCTAGCTCCAGCAGTTCTGACACCTCGAAGAACACAGCCCAGCAGAATGAAGAAGATCTACGTATCTCCAGTGTAACAACAACCGATTTGTCGTTGACGCACCAAATCGCCAAATGGAGATTCTCCGAAGATTTTGGGTACCAAACTCAATCCAACTGGGTTACGAATCTCATCTATGCGCTTTTTATCGGCTTAGTAGTTGGCGTGATCTACGAAAACCTTTTGGTCCAAAGTGCGGTCGAAAAGCATTACTTTTTGTTAAAAAGACAAGCGCGCAAGAGAAAATCCCTACTAGAATTACGATCTAGTCTCAAAAGTAAGCGCAGAAGGGCAGGGATGAAGCCAAGACCTCCTGTAGTGCCGAAAGCAGCACCACCACCACCAGCAAAGCCGGACTTGATGTCGCCTTCTGCCGTTCTCGCTTCGAGACTTTTGCCGCCCCCATCGCCGCGACAACAACTGAGCAAGTTGCTGACACCCAGAGGCCCTACAAGCCCACGGACGGAGACGGAAGGCGACTTCAAGCTTGAGGTACCCCTGCGTCCAGACAAGACTCACATCTTACCAGAGAAGGGCGAAGATGGAGCATATCTGAAGGAGCTGGAGAAGATGTAAGGTAGGTAGCTCTACTAGATGGATCTTTATTAAAGGATGAAATTGAAATTAACATGTTTATTGAGATTTTTTGAAATTAATGCTGACAGTTGCGATTTATTACGAAATGAATTTGAATTATGGAAGTAGTCAAAGCACTTTACGTTGACGTTCGTGAGAGCACGAATATGGCATCGAGTTTTCTGCTGTATTGCAACTTTTGTATTTGATACTACATGTACATTCTACACTCGATTTTGGAAGAAAGATGTAAGAAACTACAGCACGCAGATGGATTCGTTTATATTGACTCAAATATCTTCAAAGGATTACAATTGTCCAGCTCCAGTTACGTAATAAGATTAAGTAAGATGAGAAAATTATAACAATAAGTTATTTGTACATTTGATTTTGAAAACGACAAAAAATGAATAGAAAACGTACGTTAGCGTTAGGTTGTGGCAAACTGATGACTTGATCTCGAATTCTTTGCAGTTTTGGGCCTCGCTGAATAGATATGTAGAAGTTAGAGTTACAGATGAAACAAAAATTTGTATGCAGAGTCGGGATTCAGATCATAGTAGCGAATTTGATGAATAAAAACACTCGCGTTCGTCCTTGCAAAGAGCGAAATAACAAGAAACAAGTAAAGATATACCGTTGCTGGATCTGTCCCTGAACATTCATCATGATGATCAGGAACGCGAGGGGCACGAAGTGAGCAATAGCGAAGTAATCTTAGAGAAAAAAAACTGAGATTTTTAATGTGAGAAAAAGAGAAAAAGTTGTGTAAGAAAAGGCAAATAGAGACCCCTTTTTGATGAAGATACCTGAGGAAGTGGTTGAGCTGCACCATTGAGTGTGAGATTGAGGGCCGGCGGAGGTATAGAGTGGAATCTGCTTGAGTGGAATTTATCCTTACATTGACCCCACCAACTCCAACCCCAATTTTTTCATCTGCATTACGAACAACTAAATCAACTGCCTCTGCACTGAACAGACTGATCATCATAGTGGGAGAAGTGCGCGTAGATATCGGAGTTGCTCTTGCTTCATAGTTTTTTACTTCTTGTATGCTACTTACGTTGGAATCATTACATTGATGTTTCCATGGATGTTCTTCTGTATTTCACAAACATTAACATATTCATATCTTGTGCATAGATAAAGACATGTCATATTCGTCTCTCCAGCTCCAGTAGCATCTGCTCTGTCGTGGTAAGTAGACGGAACCAGCAACCACGTCCGAATCTTGCTCACGAGATCGCTGCTACGTGGAGCGACATACTCTTCATGTGCATGTTGGTCTTCATCAAGGCCCCGACGATCCAGGGCACCTTGATTCCTTGTCGGGGGATGTAGAGGCAAGAAAATGTTGTCATATTTGTTCAGGAGAAAGCGGAGAAGGAGAGCCCGACTCAGGACGCAGTCGGCGCAGCAGGACAGCACTAGCTGCGATGAAAATGGCTGTGATCATGAGAAAGCGAATGTACATGGGATGAGGGATGGCGGCGAGATCGAGGGTGATGTTCCTGTGGACGGAAAATATGACGACGGTTCATGTGCATTCGATGCCGATGATGCAGCCGATGACATGCTATCGGAACAACATGAAGACAAGGAAGGTCGGCTGTGCTCTTCGCTGGCGTTACTCTTTTCTTCTGTTATCACCGCCACGTCAAGAATGCGAATACTGAGCAGAAAACGAATACGATGGCGGCGGCCACCGCGGAAAAATGGATCACCTTTACCGAGCTCTGAAGTGTGGCTGGGTTGGAGAAAGACATCGGCCACGACGTTCACCTGTGCTCACAGTCTGTATATGCTGGCTCAACTAGCACTCCTTGAGTCTTTAGAATCACGGCCCACATCGACATCGAGCAGCTTCAGGTCGATATTTTTAGGTGTACATGCTCAGCCATTACTCACTGCCTCCACAACAGGCCTGATATCATCCGTGGGCTTCACAGACGTTGACCTTGATGCGGACGAAGTCGCTGGCAATGTCACCTTCAGTGTCAGCACAGCGGCAACTAGCACTTTGGATTTTAGTAGTCAACAGACCGGCACGTCATTGACGTATTCTCTGTATTTGGTGGATCGCGACGCTGACAGCAACCCCAAACCACACCAATATGCACAGAACTCGACAGAGGTTTCTTCGTGGCCAACCTTAGCATCTGCTACAAGTCCCTGGTATGTCGGATCCCTTTCTAGTGACGCTCATGTCGCTACTCTGGCAGACGCAAACTCGACGGCCTTCGATTTGACTCTTGCCTTGCCAGCAATGCTGGCGACTGCTTTTGCATTTGCATCGAAGCAGCAAACGGGTTCAGTTGACGGTGCGTCAGCAAGGAGGATAGAGATCGTGGTCACGAACGCTACGGCGCAGTTAGCGGTGATAGACACTGAGGTAGATGCGGTGGATAATTTCGGTTCCTATGGACTGTTTATGCGGGACTTGGATCCAGACAGGGACCGAATAGGCGGAACTTTGACGATAGAGAATGCACCAGCCGTTTGCTTTGGGACAGGCTATCCGCATGTGAATGTCTCGCAATACTTCGTCTCTGATGCAGGACTTTGGTCTTACGAGTGGAATCAAGCGAACATAAGAAGTACCCCTAGTGCTGGAACTACAGGGGCATCAAATAATGGTAGTAACGGCTCAAATATGACTGCAAACACTAGCTCTGCTGCAAACTCAACTACGACAACATCTCTTCACATGTTGCAACATGTACAGCAGCCGGTTTCTGGAGGCGTCGCGCTCCCCTCATGCTGCGCTAGCACGGATGCGACCAATGGGACAGGAGTGAATGCTAGCAGGCAGTGTAGTACAGGAAGTAGCTCATCATCATCTTCAAGGACAATACTAGGAGCTACAATGCCAGACAGTTCGAACTCCACCATGCTAAAGATACGGCACAACCTCTACAGTGTCTCCGCCGATTGCGTTGAGACGCTAGGAGCTACGTGCACTGAGAGGGTGCTTTTGCAAGGAAGTATTGCTGTAGGGTACAAGGAAGGCAGTACTAATGAACCGTATCTGGAGCTCCCCATAGCAGGCCAGACTGAGTTGGTTCGGACCGTGGCCAAGAGCCGGATTACAAACCCCTTGACGCAACAGAGCCGAAGCTACGTGGCACTCTATTCGTATGTCGTTTTAGATGACTCTAGTCCAGGACAAGAGGTCACAAGTGGCGAAACAGAACGGCCGACCGGTTTTGCTAGGATAGATGCGGACTTGACAGTAGATCCGGAAAGTGTCTTCTTCTTAGACACAGATCCGACACTAGATTTTGGCTCTGGAAACCTCACTTTCGCTGCTCCAGCTGGCACTTCGGATGTCCCAGTGACGTACTTTCTGTATCTGAACGATACTGCTAGTACTACATCAGGATCATCATTTGGAGGATTGAGTTTTCCGCTGAATAGCAGCGATATGAATCCGGCAATACAACTGCAGGACGGAACGGGAGTCCAGTATATTGGAAACGCAGGAACGAGCTCAAGCTCGACAGGATTTGCGTTTTCTGTTCCGAATCATGCGCCTCTAAACTCCTATCTGGATATGAGACAGATCAGGCGCCCGTCTCCCTTTTACATGCTGGATGGAACGTTAAACACTTTTAGCATAGAAGATGGATTCACCTCATCCTCTTCCAGCAGTGGAACAAGAGTCGTGACATCAGCCTCCTCAGCGCCGCCAGACGACGGAGCGACGAAAATGAACATCTTCTCCTTGCAGATAGGCAATACGAGTCTCGCCAGTGAAATGCGGCCAGCTGTTTTCGGAACTTTGGGTCAAAGTCGACGGCGGCTGGCTGTCGTTTCGGCCACTCATTTCACGGCATCAGCGACTCCAAGGTTTTTGTCTTTGGCTTCGTCCACAATTGTTGATTCTTCAGCGAATGCGTCGTATACAACCTCGAGCAGCCTTCTGGACATGCAACTGCCTGGACCATTGGTCAAAACGTCGAGTTTATCTGGTACAGCACAGACGACTGGAGGGTCACAAGTTGCCTGTGTCCTAGGCGAAAGCTGCGTCTATACAGTGGATGGCTACATTTTGTATCCGCATTACCAGATGCGCATCGTATCTCCTGGCGTAGACACGTGTAGCACAGCATCAGCGAATTTACTGTCGGCTAATGGGAGTACAACGTCAAGGAGTGCCTACTTATCCACTGTGAGCTATCCCAATGCAGCCACCGCATCTGGAGCCAGTAACGAAATATTTGACTTTTCGTTGTCTGGGGTATACGACGCGGCGCCGTTGCCTAGTGCACTGATAACGGAAATCAATGCTGGAACCTCAAACAGCTCATGGGAATGGAAGACGCCGAGCTACGCTTCACTCTATACATTCTCAAACTCGATGAATTCCGGTCCAGGTGGGTCAGAAGTTTTGGGTGTGAAAGCTCCTATTTGCTGGGCCGAAGACGGAAACACTTTCGAACACGAAAGGGGTGAAGTGTTTTTAAGCGGGCCTTTTGGCTTCACTAGTAATGCTTCTTGTGCCTTGTCCCAGCACTGCGAATTCAGTGTGCATGGCGTGAATCTGAACCGAACTAGTAACCGACTAGCCATCATCCCTGGCGACCAAATGTGCGGCAACGAGACTGCGTACGTGCAGTTTGACGGCCTCTTCTGGCGCACTCTAGATGCCTCAGGGACTGGTTTACAACAATCGCCACGATCTCTGATGGGACACGTAGTTGCGCCATCTGGTGGATCCGCATCGACTGGAGGAGGGAATTCATCAAGAAACGGAACAAATAGTACTACTGCCACCAGCAGCACTTCTGGCACATCTTAAGGCTTCCCCTAATCCATCCCTGTAGACATCCCTCAAACATATGCGCCCCAATACAAGGGAGATACTGACGCCTATGCTTGAGGGATTCCCACAGGGATGAATAGCAATAGGGGAGAGCTCTAAACATCATCTTCGACAAGTGGAAGCCAACAACTGGAGGTCCTCCCTAACGGTACTCTGGTGTACAAGATCGGGCTGCCTCGCGCAGGGCCTGTCGGCGGTGATTTCAAGATCTGTTGGTCTGCGAGGAAAGGCAGTGACATCGCCGATAACAGTCCAGGAGTGCCGATCTCGCTTTCGCATTACCCAATACAGGTTGGTACCTTCTCAATGGCCGGTCCCGGACACACCCTGACACCACGCGCCGTGTCCTGTCGCATCGGATTGCCTTGTTTTGTCTCTTTGACGGACTCGCACTTGCTGAGTGCGGAGAACTCTTTATTGGTAATAGACGATGCGCAAGACTGTGGCAGCATAACTGCAGACCCCGCGACGCATATTGTGGATTGGCTACAACTGGACCACATCGCGCCCATTCAGGAAGCGCCGTATAATCGGTACTACTTGGGCACCCCAGGGTCGAGGACGGATCTGTTCGTGAAGGCGCACGGCTTCCAACACTATCACGTCTGTTGGGCGGCCAGGTATAACGTGACCGCGGCTACCACGTCTGGTGGAGCGACGGCGCCCTCAGACTCCATTCTGTTACATTCGATTCACGTCGCCGACCTATATCTAGACATATCGCACTTGAATTCTCCAGATGAGGTGGGCCTTGGCATTGGCTTAGGCTCTTTCGAGCGCTTCTCGAGCGCGCCAACCAAGGAAGTTTTTGTGAGTTCTACCAATTTTCTAGTCGAATGGAGTGTCAGTAGTGGTCCGGACTCAAGCAAGTTGTTGTTTGCGACCTACGATCCAGAAGGGAACTCCTTTTGCTGCTGGGACAGCGTTGCGCAGAGAACAGACCCTCGGTTTTCGATAGACAGCGGTCGCTACATCAAGGCGGTGAGTCCTCGGAACCCGACTACGGACACGGCTTACGCAGTGATATCCTATGCCGGCAGTGGCGCAGCGTTGGTCGCGAGAAACGGCGTGCAAAGAGATTTGTCGGATATGAACATCACTGCATCTACAGCGAGATTGGCCTTCGTTTTCGATGACCTAGTCTTAGTGGGGGCGCCAGCGTATAAAGATCCGAACAATCGTGTGGCGCAGCCGGTGGCCGATAACAAGATTCTGCGTGTCTACCGATGGAATTTGCATGTCACAGAGGAGGTGGCGTTCAACGCGACGATCGACTCTTTCTCCGTGGCAGAACATGGCTTAGAGCCGCCCTCGAGTTTGAATCTACACTTGCTGCCGATAACGGTAAATGATGACGTATTCGCTCTGTTGGGGAATGGAACCAGGACTGGTGGTGGAGGAGGATTTTCCGGATCGGGGAGTGCATACAGTTCATCGAATGCTACCAATTCTTCTGGAAGCGGTTCTTCCTTGTTGCGCATCCTCCAAGACACGGACGACGAAGTGAATTGCACGAACCAAACACTGACAGTGCAAGGACAAGATACCAATGTCACGGTTTGCACGCCGTTGAACAACAGCACCAGTGCTTCGAGCGCCAACAGTGGAGGAGAGTCGATTTTGATGCCGATCGCCACTGGTATCAGGCGTATCCATAACGCTGCTGGAAGCGGAAACGATACGGTGTTGGTGACAACCCGCTTCGGTCTGATCGTTTTCAAGGTCTCAAAGGGTCAAATGTCTCCGTTGATCCCCTTCTCGATCACTTCGTTTGAGAACAGTATTCCTACTCCTAGTTTCGTAGTGCTCCAGTCTAGTGTGCGCGGTGGATTCGTCGCTCCTATCGCTTTGGGACCCGACCCGAAGACTATGACCTGCATTCTTGGCGCACCTTGCATGAGTCCCTTTACGTGGAGTATCCAGACTTATGTCACTTACGCAACCTGTGACGTGAAGAAAAAGCCTCAGCTTGTTCCCACGATCCCAGCACCGATCGAACCGGGTGAGGAGTTTTTCCTTGATGGCATGCCTGGGCAATACCAGATGTGCAGATGGAGTCGCTATCTAGACCCCTATCCGAGGTCGCCGAACTACATGGGGAACAACTCTGTTGCGAGTTTCTACGATGCTACAGCTTTGGTGAATGTCGGAACGGCTTACGTCCTAGGCCCGCAAGCGGCTGATACGAAGTGTGTGCTTGGAAGAAATTGCGACTTACTCCTAGAGGGTCAAGGAGTCGGGATCAATACTGAAGGTAAGATTGATGGTATCTTGAGGATCCTACCAGCTGGCTCAACCGATTGCTCGCAGGTCGCACAAGGTCTCGTGGCAACGTCAGTCAGCAATGTGAGTGAAATACATGCGGCTGCGGATATTGGTGGCATCCGTGGACGCGGCACTCTGGTTTACCAGTTAGGCAACGTCATCGAAGGCACACCAGCAGTTTACACTATATGCTGGAAGGCGAAGGATACGGAAAGGGCACAGTTCGTGCGAATCGGGACGTGGGCATTGGCGGGGCCGTATGCGTTAAACAGTACCGCTGAATGTGCACAGGGTGTGCCATGTATCGTCAGACTGACCGGTGTGGAATTCGAAATCGGCAACAGAGTGGGGATAAGTCGGACGCAGTGTGCAAGCGGCTTCGCTGACTATGATGTACGAGAGCTGATCTATCTCCCGGGAAGGAATCCTTTGGGTACTTACTGATTTGACGAGAGCTGATCTATCTGCCGGGAAGGAATCCTTTGGGTACTTACTGATCTGTCTAGAGCTGATCTATCTGCCGGGAAGGAATCCTTTGGGTACTCTTAAACTCCTAATAGTAGGGTCTTCTTCATCTCGTGGGCAGAGTTCTTAACAGTGACACGCGCCACCTGTGACAGAGTTCTTAACGGTGACCTGTCTGAAAAAATATACACCCTTCACAGGTCCCACCGAGGAGTACCGCGGTTTCGAGGTCCTCTATGAAAAGTACGATTTTGGTTCCATCTCTGTGGGTGAAGCTGGTACCTTTTTCCTTTGCTGGGGTCAGGCTGGGGACTTGCTGAACGTGCGACTCGGGAAAATCTTGATCACCGGAGTTAATTGGGAAGTCCACTTTTGCTATCTCGGCTTCCAGTGTGACATCATTGTCAGAGGTGTTGAACTACGGGCTGCGAACGCTCTACAGGTCTTGCAAAACAACACTGGCGACTGCACCCAAGAAGAACCAGACAAATTACTCGTTTCCGACAAGGAGATTAGTTCGATTTTCAACCCGAGGATGGACTCTCTACCAGTAGGAACGCAGAAGGAAGCTCGTCTCTACAAAATGGGTTACATTGAACGCGCGGATGTTTTGGATTACAGAATTTGCTTTGCCGAAAACCAATACGTTGTTCCTCCAGAAGTACCGCGTTACTTCATGGAAGCAGGAATTCTGTCTCTGAGCGTTAAGGGTTTCAAAATGTTGACCTTTCCCTAGATATGAGCTGCATATCTAGGGTTGCCCTAGTCCAAGATGAGAAGAAAGGTGCGTATGCCTTACAAGTACTTATGCGTTCTCATACATATCTCATAAGTGCAAACCTCTAAGAGCAGACCAAACCAAGACTCAGTGATCGCAAAGTGCATAATGGGAGAGCGGTGTGTTGCGGCAGCCACTGGAGTGAATCTACGACAGGAAAACATTGGGCAAATCGTGTTTGGTGAGCAGTGTCCGAATACACAGGGAATCCTGTTCACGACGATCACGTGGACGGGGTTGCGACCAGAAGTATCGAACACTGATACGTTCGACGTGAGTCTCTTCAATGGGACGTCGGTAGACAATGCGGATGCTGGAGGTGCTACAGCTTCTACTTTTAGGTGCTGGTGTGATCTACAATATAGTGTACAGAGGAACACGTCAAGAAATTACTGATGAAACTAAGTCGTGAGCAGGTGTGATCTACAATACAGTCAGAGTCATCATCAGTGGTAGAATAAATGTCGGGACTTGGTTTATTTGCGTATTGAACATCCATGATATTCAGGTTTTGGCGACCGCGTTAACTTCGATTTGGGTGTAATTATTGGAGCCTTTCCCGCAGCTTTCAGTTACTTTCTCTGTTGGGGAAATACGTGGGGGAGCATGCCGTTTCTTCGGTAGCTACATTTGACGAATTTTTTATCCTTACCCATAGACTTCTTGTTCTTGTTTCTTAGTAGTATCTTTTTAATGTTGTCGTGAAGATCTACATCTAGATCATCAATGTCAGGATGATCATTTTCATGTGATGAAGATCTTCATCGTGACACAATCTACATCAACAGCGCCGGTCGTGTCGATCTCACCGGGCCAGGAAACTTGGCTGTCCACAGCAGTGAAGCAGGCGACACCAGATGTGTTATCGGAAGAGAATGCATCGTCCTTCTGCGCAACACGTTCGCAACGACCACGAACTACATTCGCATGCTCCAGGAAGGCTATAGCTGCGACGATACTAGCAAAGACAATTTAGTACAGGCAAAATACCTGAGCAATCCGTTCGCCGTTATGCAAGACAACGTGGATCTCTATTCTGTAGGCTTTCCTGTCGTGAATTCGACTGCCAACGTTGCGGGAGGACTGGGCTACAAATTGTGCTGGGGTCACGATCCGAAGATACAGAATGCAGCAGCGGGAGCTTATCAATTTGATCTGGTATTTTTCTTCTTGGCTACGTACTACTTAGTGACTACAACATCAATGAATCAATAAATATCAAGTAGAATCTTGAACTTCAAATAAACAACAACAAGAACAACAACCCACCTGCTCCCTCCCCAACATCCTGCAACCTACTCCATACACAGTCCAAGATTCGCGTGCCTATCGGTTACATCAAGTTCCCGGGACCCTTTCCTAGGGATATTACGTGCTACTTTTACCGTGAGTGCCGGTTTCAGCTTCCGGGTACCACGAGCGAGGACTACACACGTCTAGACCGTGTTGCTGTGCTCGATCTGGGGAAACGCGGTGTTATGGCAAAGGAACAATAATGATCATCATGGCTGATTCGGTTTCACCTGTACTGAGTTGCATAATAAACATAATATTGATCATCATGGCTGATTCGGTTTCACCTGACACCAGACACGACCAGCTCTAATTTCCGTCTTCGTTGTGGTGAACGTGAGCCTGGCGTTGCACAGTACGACAAACAGTTAGACATTCTCCCCTGGGCATTTCGAACCCGCAAGACTTTGGCAGATGGCAGAGTTGTCAGAGCAGATGTCTTAAACGGGGATGAGTGGTACGAGCACAGCTGGAACGTCGAAGACGACCAGAACGACATTGAGCCTTACAACACCTGGAATTTTGGGGTGCCTAAACTTGGAGAAGCAGGGAGATATACACTCTGTTGGGGTGAAAATCCAGCACTGAGTGATCCGGTACTACTTTTTCATAGTAGTAAGTACACAGGATCATGATCATGAACAAGCTCCTCATCCACCTATATTCTCCTCCTCCTGTGGTATTATTGATGTGTTCCTTTCATTGCGATTGCTTGTGGTGAAGGAAGTTTAGGAATGGTGATTACCCACTCAACGACTCAAGAACACCATCTTCATCAGAAGTCGATAAACCGAAACTCCATCTAATTCAGGTTTACGTCTGGTACTCGCACCACTACATGAATGTTGGATGGTTTTCTATGGAGCTAACTGCCAGTTGCCGCTTGGGCGATCCTTGTGTTGTGGATACTTGGTTCCTCACTCGAAATACCACTTTGGTTCTCATCGACGACGTCAATCTGGAATGCGGTACCTCCAACGCAGGCGGTACTCAAGTAGGTGTAGACTACTACTCCCGCGCGCCTGTTTTCACTACGTCAATCACCGGCCCTGAGAGGACTAAGACGCAGGTGATTACGCGACCCATGTCCGTTACGAGCGGGAACAGAACCAATACGAATTTTGGGGTCGAAGAAAGCGTCCAGATTTGGCGGTATGAGTTGCCGCCATTCACGAAATTCCCGAGTCATCACTACAAATTCTGCGAAGCCATGAGACCGAGTCTGGAATACGAGCCCTGCCCCACTGACGCAGTGTCGTTCTTCTACAACCTGACATTGACAGCTGACATGCACAACGTGACGCTCACGAAGGACACGCAAGCCATTCTAGCGCCAAACGCCACAGCCAGTGGAGCGATACCGACATTGGCAACAAATGAGTTCATTTTCAATTTTTCGGTTATTGTAGCTTCAGAAACTACGGTATTCAATGTCACCTTCAATCCTTGTGGCGCCTATCCAGCGGACTGGGCTAACAGCGCTATTGTGCCTCCACTTACCGCATCTGAGCGATCGCTCGCAGCCATGGGTTATTTGCCACCGTCTTACTTCGTGGACCGGGTCAAAAAGGGCGTCTTCATCGCCGATTCCAGCACGCCAGAGAACGAGCAGCTTTTCGTCGAACAGAAAGAGCCAATAGCTTCGTTGGTGAACGACGGTCCCTATTTCAACCGGAAAACGTGCCAACTCGGGACCAACTGCACTCTGTTTTTAGATGGTGTCGGGAACCGAGAATCCGACTTCGTCTACCTATCGACGTCGAAAGACAGCTGCAGCATTCCAACTAGCGTTTCTGACGCTATTCCGTACAACCGCAGTTTGAACGCGCTGAAACCAGAAGCACTTCGTACCCTGATAGAGACAGCAAATGCCGGCAACTTTTCCACTTCGCCCATTGGCGCCGGATTTTTGTCGGCTCTACCTGTAGGGCAAACGGCCTTCCCGAATGGCACAATCCCGTCTGTGATTCGCGGTCTCCACTCGGTCGTCTTACCCGATCTGGAGAAATCCGACGTCTTGGCTGATGGTGAAATCAATCGCTACGGCAAGAAAAAACGCGCAGTCTACGAGTTAGGGGTAGCTACGAAAGTGTCCGCTGGTTACGTCTACGGCATCTGCGGCTTTAACGATTTAGTCATAGGCGAATTGGTGTTCGTAGGTCCCGACATCTCAGATGGCGATACCAGATACTGCACTTTGGGCATGCCGTGTGTGCTGAAAGTCGAAGGCGCATCCTTTGCTAGGGATAACATGGCGTTGCTCAGTCCTAAAGAAGGGTGCAACCAAATTGGGCAGGAACAGGACTTGGAATTTTCAGTGTCAGCGGTTTCGAGTGCGAGAGTAGAGGAAAATCCAGCACTCAGTCATGTGAAACTGAACGATTTCATCTTCGATGCGATTCGGAGAGGGGAGATAAACGGGACAAACGCTGGAACCTATTACTCTAGATTGCAGGAGAACCACAATCTGGTACTGCAGCACCACATGAAAGCGACACACTTGGAGGAAGCGGCTGCGTTGGAGGCTGCAGCTTTATCCGGGAGTGGAGGGGGTGCGATTACCTCTACCTCTGCAGCAGCAGCCAGTAACTCCTCTACGTCTGCCGCGGCAACTCTTGCGGCCTACCCGATCGGCTATACGAATTTCGCCGATTACGAGAATGCTACTGTCGTCAACAACTCAGCTGCGGCTGTGGAGGCTACCTTGGCTTCTGTGGTTTACCTTCATGAAAGAGCGCTGTTCGGACCGTGGACGCAGTTGTTGAACCCCGCTGCCGTGACAGCTTTACTCCTAGATCCCTCTACGAATAAGGGATTTGAGATTTTCGACTTAAATGTCGGCTATTTTCCGCACGCTGGTCGCTTTTCGCTTTGCTGGGGCTACAATGTGTACAGGGGTTTGTTCGCAGTGCCGCCGCCTGGGTATACCGAGTCTGGTCACGCAGTGGACGCTGCAGCGGTCGCACTTGCTTCCACGACTAGTAGCACGTCCTCAACGACGGCGAAACCCACCTATACAGCTGGCTTCCTGAATCCACCGCACAACACGGTAGAAGCACGATACGAATTCGGAGAGTTTCGATTGAAATTAGCTGAGTTCTTCCTCTACGGTCCTCTGCAGATTGGCACAAACATGCGGCGCTTTGAGCATCTGATCGATTTGAACAACATCTGGTTCCAAGCGGGCATCGATATCTCATTTTCCACCTTTGCGGGCGTGAACAACGGCACTTTGTACTGCTATTTGGCTCTAGAATGCCAAGTGGACGTGGACGGCGTCGGATTGTCAACTCTGGCGAGTAATATGGGGTTGATGATCGTCCACCGGGATCAACAGTGCTACTCGACGACGAAAGAACCGATTGCAATATCGAACATGAAGAACCCTACGGATCGGAAACAGTACTTGGGTGAAGAAGTAGACGTGAACGCAACCAATGACGTGATGGCAAACCCAGTAGCAGTCCAGAGGTATCGGTTCAACTTCGACCGCTTGACCGGTGCTGCGCCGACCAAAAAAGGGCCTTACCGTATCTGTTGGGGCTACACGGGACCGGACACTAACACCGACAGCGACATGGCTCCTTTCATCGAGAGTCGAGTTCCTTATGGAGTTGAAGTGGGCACAATGCTGATTTTTGGTCCGATGTTCCGCGAGTTCTCCTGCGTCGCAGGCACAGAGTGCAAGATCTTAGTCGAAGGAACTGGGTTGTCGTTGGACAAGAACCGGCTGTTTTTGATAACTGGTGGTAGTTGTACGGTCGTCGTAAACTTCCTCTACGAATATCACATTCTGAAGACGGCGGCGGTTACATCTGTGCCGGTGTTGGAAGACACTACGGAACAAACACCGGAAACCGCGTACATGCATCCAACTTTTAAAACCGATGCGGATTTACCCTACACAGAGACGTTTTTGACTGGTATCGACTCGACGCCCTATGATTTGGAGAAGCTGAACATTACGCGAGTAGCGAACTACCAGAGGAGCACGATTATGGTTGGGCCTGTAGCAGTGACGCCAGGAGTACCAATGATTTCGACTTTGAACGAGTACACCATGACGGCTGTGGACGTCAGAGGCAGTGATCGGTTTGAGCTATGCTACTTAGCCGACCCCTCGACCAGTTTGAACGCTGTGAATTTCGGCTTCATGCGGATCATCGGACCACGACCAGCAGCCAGGCCGTTCACGTGCTACCTTGGTTCGCCTTGCATTCTCGGTGTAAACGGTGTCAAGCTGAAACGCGGAGTGAATGTGTTGCAGATCAACCGCAAGCCACAGTGTCAAGAGGATTCTAAGCTGACGATGGACACGAAAGCCTTCACAAATCCAACTCCTAGTGGCTTTGACGTAGGCAAAGCCATACGGGAAGGCTACCTAGAGTCCTGGAACGACGCTGAGTTCTACTTCCGCGATAACGACCCACTGTTGGCAAGTATCTTGGAACAACAACAGAAGGCAAGCTTGCTCGCTGGTACAACTACATCCTCTGCTTCTGGTGCCTCGTCGAATAAGTCCTCAACATCCGCGAATCCGAAAGACTCAACTGAGATCCACTATCACCACTTCGGCGTGCTGCTTGGAACGAGTGCTGACTATGTGGGTGAGTACTTTGTGTGTTGGCGTGACAGTCCAGGAGTCGAATACACGATGATGGGGACGTTGAATTTGGTCGCTCCAACCTTAGTCAACAAAGCATCCAAATTCGACTGCGTCTTAGGACGTGAGTGCAAAACCGAGATGGACTTGCAGGGTTTCGATCAGAAAAACGCCAGTGAATTCCGATGGGCATTCCCTAGAATGCAACTGGTCGCAGGGGGTGCTCTCACAACATCAACAGGTAGTTCTGCTACTTACGTCGATCGCGACCAATGCTACACGCCTGATGTGACAGCGAGTGATTTGGGTGCGAAGGGGCTGGAGGAAGCGAGCAGTGCAGGTGGATCTACTGGCGCAGCTTCTACAGCTCTATCCACCACGAATTACCCCATCGAAATCGACTACGTGAAGCCGAATTATTTCGAAGGTTTGAGCGAGTTTCTGCCCTTCATTTGGCCGCAAGGAGATACTGCAACGACCGTGGTTCCTGTCGAATTTGGCATACCACGAAACGCCAGACCAGGTCGTTATCTGCTTTGCTGGAGTCGTAGGGGTCGAGGTCATAGGGTCCGCATTGCTGAGATCCACGTTCGAGGACCCGAATTTCAGACATCAGAGTGCGTTTTGGGTGTGCCTTGTGGCTTTTCCCTATCGTCTCCGACTGCGGCATCTTTCTCGGTCTCGGATCAAGTACGACTCGTGACCAGTGGTTTTGTCATGTTGGCAGATACGAATACGGCAATTGCATCTAGAGTGTTGGATGACAAAGCAAACTATCCAGATGGGTATTTTGTTGCCTCGATTGCACCAGGAGGAGATGCTAGCACCAGTACCGAGGTGACCGGATCCGGTGACAATGCAACATCAGAAAACTCGACTCTGACTTGGGCAAACTCTTCCAATGACACGAACTTAACTTCTTCTATGTTCACGTCAGGAGCTTCAACAGGCACAACAACGCCCTTCAACCTCACTGCCTCGGAAGCCCTTCTTCGTTCCAGGCTCAATCTTGGCGTCTTCCAAACCGAATCTGACTTGTGCAATGTTGGCCAAAGTCTTGTCGTGATGAACCTCGGCGGCGCAATGGGCAGTCGTGTCGATCTAAATCCATCCCTCCGCGTGTCTGAGAATTACGCTCCACTGTCGAACTATACCGGAGCCACACTTGAGGCAGTCCCAGAACTACCGTTGTACGCGACTGTGGACACAGCGGGTTCACGTTTAGCGTTTACTTTGGGCGACTTCAAAGGGTACGCGAGTGGGCCTTGGACATTGTGTTGGAAGTCGGGATTGGTGGAGATGGAAGGTGGAATAAATAGCTCCGAAATGCTGAATGGTAGTACGATCAGTGGCAGTAATGCGACATCACCCACAAAGAACGCATCAAATACGTCAGGAAGCAACGCATCAGTATCTTCAGAGGCTAATGTTACTTCTACGGCCACCTCCAGTTCCGTTTCCTCTCTCTGGGTTCCATTTGGACAGATGCATGTCGTCGGACCGACAAGACGCCTAGTGAACTGCAATCTAGGCGCTCGCTGCGCTGTTGAGATCCACGGGTACGGGAATTTTGCGCCTATCTCAAATTTTCTCATCGCGCAGAAGCAGGAAGGCAATGCGACAGCTACTAGAAGGCTGACGACTTCCTTAGAGTATGCCTCCGCGACTGAAGTAGGTGCAGGAAATTCATCCACTTCCACCGCGAAAAACGCAGAAGAGATAGCAGCCAACGACTGCGACGGGCCAGAATGGATGTCTGTGTATGACGCAAGCTCTGAGTTCACGTATGACACTCAAGCCCAAACCCAGACAATCAAACTCGACACGCCATTCGCCAACATGCCGACGACGAACGCGGATGCGTCAACACTGTATCTTTGCTGGAGGGCGTCTGCGACCACGTCTTCAAGTGCTGACACTACAAGCTCTCCAAGCGCAAGTTCATCAACTTCCCCCCCGAGTTCTACAATAAACAAGAACCTCAATCCTTTCATGGCCCTACCCGGAATGAAAGAGACGCTAGGTGTATCTAGTTCCTACCAATCGCAGAATCAGTTCACGAGGATTGGACAATTCGTGGTTTCTGGTCCTGTGCTACTAGGTTCTGGACAGGGTCAGCACTTCTACTGCGAACTAGGCGATCATGAGTGTGACATTCAACTCAACTACGTCGGTACTTCTCCTGGTTTGCAGTCTTCTCTCAACATTTCCTATTTGCAACTGCAACCAGTGCTTGGTGGCGAGACGCACCCAGACGCAACTGTAGTGAACAAATGCATCGATGGAACGCGTGTCGCCAGTAGTATTCGACTGCAGAACGCCTTTAGAGGAAGTTCGAACTTCTTCAACTCGACGAGTGATCTGTTTCAGTTAGGGCATGTGAAGTTGCGAGAACCGGTGGGATGGACAGGAACCTACAGGATCTGCTGGAGGTCGAGTTTGGGAGACACGAAAGCATCCGCCACAGGAGCAAGTACATCCTCCACCTCCTCAACATATGCTTCATCTGCAAATAGTGCTCACCAACATGGTTCAAGCTCAGCGATGCAAGAATTGCAGTCATCTTCTTCTGGCGCATCTGGAGGTTACAGACGAAGGAGGTCTCTGACAGCAGCATCTGCTGGCACAGGAGCGCATGATCCTAGTAGTGGCACTATGGAAGAGGACCATATGTACGGCTACCTCGGTTCCATGAGTACTTTTGACCAAACTAAGGAGACCATGGATGAACTCCAGAAAAGATGGCGCGCTCAGTACGATGGCCAGAAACAATATGAGTTTCAAACCGCCACAACTGGTGAAGAATCAGGCAGTTTCTACGACATTGGCAGGATCACATTTGTCGGTCCTCTAGAAACCGATATCTATTGCGCATTGGGCGAAATGTGTGAGGCAATGAACGTGTCCGGCACTTACTTGAAAAACACGCCATCGCGAAGTGTGTCGATCGTTGTGCGAGATGATGCGACAAGCTTCGGTGATGCAGAATGTCAAAGGGCTTTTAGCTTGAGCATGAGCAATAGCGCATCTTCTACAGGCATGACCCTGGAACAGCACTTGTTGGACGGTTTAGTAGCGGATTTCGCAGACGCCGTTGGTGGTAGCATTACTTCGATCGCAGTAAGTGCGGAGGAAGACACATTCAAAAACCCAGTGTCACAATTGAAGTCGAACTCTAGTGGAGCAACTTCCTCTGAAGAGACCTTTAGCGTGCTGTTTGGCATTCCTGAGCGGGGTGTTGCAGGAGAATATGCGTTGTGTTGGCGTGAGAGAGAGGTTTTCGGTACCTTCCACTTGACAGGTCCCCTCAGTGGCAGTGCCAGGCCGACCACTTGTCCACTTGGCGTGACCGATTGCAGGTTGAGGATAGAAGGCCATGCGTTAGCCGCTTCCAATCATTTGCGAATTGCTGAGAGCGCCTTTCCCTATCAGAGTGTCAATTTTCTCCCAAAAAACCCAGTGCAAGTCACCAGCGATTTGCGCCACCGCTTGTACAGCTTTGGGCCGCTGAATGATGCTTCGATTCGACCAGGCATATACAGTGTGTTCTGGGGCCAGACGCCAAATGCACAGAAAGTTTCGACTGACGTTGTCGTTTTTCAAGGCCCAGAAGTCAAATCCTTGACAGCTCCAGATGGCGACACCGGGTTCTCCTGCGTGTTGGGAGAAGAATGCAGAATCGAATTGAACGGCGTGGCTTTGCAGAGCTTCAATCGTTTGAAGGTTCTTGCTTACGACCGATTAGAACCTACTAGGGTCTACAATGCGCCTGTTCAAACAGTGGGGCCGAATGGGACTGTGGTTTCGACAAATCTCACACGAATGGTCTACGAATGGGCACCACAAATCACGACTCTGCTGGACGATGTTGAAGAAGGCCTAGCGACATCGAATACCACCAACAACTCGACCAACGCATCAACAACTACCTCTAGTACTTCAAGTGGGAGTGTGACGACCCTGGACACGAATTGGACTGTCACAGAGCTGACGAACGACGGGATCGAGAAATCAGTTGACGGCTACCTCGGCTTCCCCTACAACCCGATCCATCCAGAGTCTATTCGTCGAAACGGTGCTAGTTTCTCCTTCGGCATTCCACTCGCCAACGCTTCACGAGGATATAGACTGTATTGGCATGTACACTCGAAGAATAATGAAGCAGCCACGATGTTAGACGCCAAAATAGCGTCTGAATGGATTACAGCCGGCAGTTTCGAAATCCTAGGACCAATTGTGCCGGATGGCACTGTCAATGACCTGATGCACCGATTTGAGCATGAAGCTGAGGGGTTTTTCTATCCAAACGCCATCTCGAACAACTCCAATATGACCAACTCCGCAGCGAACCCTGCCTCATCTTCCACAAATGAAACAGCAAATGCAAGTTCAACATCAAGTGCTGGGAACAACAGCACTGTTGTATCTCTTCTATCTTCAGCATTGGACGTCCCTGCCACCACCACGACATCAACATCCACGAGCACTTCTACGCACTACGATTTCCATTCGTGCGTGATTGGAAAGACCTGCTCCATCGCCGTTGAGTTCATCGGAAGGACTTTCGTATCAAACAGCATGCGCATTCGTCATGCATGCGCTTTCAACGACACGTTCTTGCAACTCAAAGCAAAAGACCCGTTGAGTGATGAACGGTTTCCAGAAGACGCAATGCTGCCCTATAGTGCGGGACGAAGGTTGTTGGAAGAGGAAGACGGAGGTAATGAAGGTGTTGAGGATGCTCTGAATCCGGGTAGATTTGAAACTCACATCGGTGTCGGTGTCGCCGACATTGACAGCAAACAGACAGCATCTCCTGCGGTTGCAGCACCAGAAGTGGATGATACTGACCTCGACACTAAGCTCCGGCGTTTATCGCACAACACACCAACCACAACACCCGCGCCTCTTCCGACGCCGCTAGGTCTGTCTTTCGTGCCTAATTTTTTGCCCTACGGCTACCGCCCAACATTAGCCGACCTGAAGCAACAAGGCTACAATCAGTATGAAAACGCGAAGACCGGTTTCCGGAATTACATCCCAATAGGATGGCCTGGCGCGGTGTCCTCCGATAACATGGGGTGGCCTGCACGGATGTTTGAGACCAGTGAGCATCCTTACGACCCAAGTTGGTCGAGACCAGCATTGGTAGTGGATCCTGTGATATTGCCGGAAGTTAGGGATTTGACCTTGGATGGTGGGTTTAAGGGCTATGTGGAGACAGGGGATTTGATGGATACGACGACCTACGCTTCATCAGCGTCGACTTCAGGATCAGGAACTGGTGTTAGTCCCAGTCCAACACAAGAGGACCTTCTCAAATCTCTTAGTTCTGTGGATGCTGCTACAGGTCAAGCTGTAACGCGTGAAACACTAGCAACGACTGACACATCAACCGAGTACACAACCGATTTGCTCTTAGACTCTTTAGAGGTCCAAAATAACGAGCACACAATCACTGCCTTACAAAACAGGACCGTCTTCAAATACGACTTTGGTCTGGCCACTACTTTGCCAACATTCACAGACTACGAACTCTGTTGGTCGAAGAACGAAGTGATTTTGTCTCCTTTACGCTTGTACGGCCCCGTGGATGCGAATCTCGGACGTGTTAATCGATGCAAATTCACGTTTCCAGCAGCAACGTCTCCATCCAGAGAGGACACGTCCGCGAGCAATGACACAACTAGTGGAACGTCGAATGACACTACCAATTCCTCCTCCTCGACTGCTGGAGGTGACAAAGACGATTGCTTGTTCTACGTCGCGGGTGACTTCTTTCCCATACAGGCGCCTTTGATTGCAGCTGTGGACACAAAAAATGCCAGTTCGAGTTCTGCAGAAAATAGTCCATCAGAATCCAGCTCAACGAACAGTTCTGGGAATGATACTGTGCCCACAAGTCGTGGATCGAATAAGAAAAACTTCATCCAAATCGTCGACGACTACGATTGCAGCACTTCTACTTCCAACGTCATACTAAGTGGAAATTTGGAAACCGTCGCTCGTACAAAAGAACTGCAACAGCCCTCTTCAGTTCCTGCTGTAGTAGAAGAATCGGATTTATGAAACGAAAAAGTGCACTTACACTCAAGAAATTGGCTAGGATTTACGTAGGAAAATAGCCACTTTTTTTGAGTGTGAGTGCACTTTTCTCTTTCATAGGATTACTATGGCAATGGCGTAACCACGTTTGATGATATGGCGAACCCATTTGGGGCTGACCTGTCACGGTACAATGCTCAACAACTGAATCAGTTGAACGTGATGAATCAGTACGTTACACTGCCAGAAAACGGCGTCCTGGCGTCGGAAAAACGCGCTGTGATGCGCCTAACCGCTTCGGAGGACCTGCGGAAATTTAGAAGAAAAGACAACTACACGATATGCTGGAAGCATGAGAATGTAACCGAAGACCCCTGGGTCCGTGCTGGCTTTTTATCAGTGGAAACGCCATATACATGCGTACTAGGAAGTTTGTGCGCTCTGGATGTGGAGGCGTTGACTACAAACGCAGAGAAGAGTCTCTCGTCAACAAGTGGATCGTTTGACAATGCGACTGACCGTTTGGAATATGAGTTTTCCGTCAGTGAGGACTTGAGTTGCAGCACAAAGGCTACAAACACGACACTGGTCAAAGTGCTGAATGGACTCGAGAACGCAGCAAACGTGGAAACAGTGTTGAAGAACCTGATTCGGGAACACTTGGTCATGCACCAAACTATGAGCGACACCCCGGAAAACGCAATTGCGCATACGACTGCCGACCCACGGGTCCTGTCTGAATTGGCGAGAAGAAATTCACTGTTGCAGTCGTTCGGCTTCAAGAAGCTACTGTTGTTGCCGTTCGTAGCTGGAGTTTATAGCTTGTGCATGGCGGTGCACAAGGTGCCACTGGTCCTCGATGATGGGACCTCCTCGTCGTCGAGCAATATCACGACCACTAGTAATAACGCGTCCAGCACCAGCTCCGTGGTGTTGATGCCGAAAAGCGCGCAGGGTTTTCTGGTTGTGGATGGGCCAAATCGCAAGTTTGGTTCCTCCATGCAACAGGCAAACGACTCGAACTCCTCCTCGTCTTTGTCAACATCAGCATCGGCCTATAGAGCAAACAGTCGGATCGACAGTGCTCTCATCAGGTCAGGGGATTATGATTACTTGCAAAAGGCGAGTCGTGGTACTGCTACTGGTACATACAACGTTAGTACGATGAACCAGTTTCTAGGGATTCATCAGCGATTAGACACTGACGCTTTAGCTCTGTCACACGAAGAATTCTTGTCTCCGCCAACCGCTGTCGAGATGATCAACAACTTTGGTTCCTACGTGGTCTTGCCTGGAAGCGCCATTCATACCAGTCTAAAGTCGCTTTTGGTTGGAGACTTCTTTGGTGCAGGGAACTCTAGTGCTGCAGCATCAGGGGACAATTCTACTTCTTCTAGTACTGGAGGCGTCTTTGGAGTTGCTGACGAAGGACTGGCATTCGCAAGTGATGTCGTTGGTGATGAACAAGCAAATGGAGATCCCAGCATCGTATTCCAAGATGCCGTGAGTGTTGGTACCGCAGCTGCCACAGCTATGCACTCCTATTCACGAGGTAGCACAGGCACGAGCGCGACCAAAAACGCTGCAGACAAACATGCCTACACATCTCCCAAAGGCAGCGCAGTGCCTGGTGCGCTCGCGCAAGTACACCCGGAAGCTGAGCTTGCCAAAAATGCAACGAAGGCGATTGGTCTGGCAGTGACAAGTAGTGCTTCCTCGTTTTTTGTCAGGCAACTCACGGACGGCGTGGACATCATGAAAATCTACGCAACAGACGTCATAGCGATGCAAGCCGAATACACGAACAAGACAGACGCAAATTTGACCCTAGTAGTCAACTCGTCCGCATCGGCAGACACGGCATTGGTGCCAAGCGTGCTCCAGAACAAGACATTGGTGCTGGAACAGCGAGAGTACGAGGAATCAGGTTCTGCCACGCTTGCCTCTATTGTAGTAAAAACTAAGAACCACGAAAGAGAGAACTCACACTCAGCAGGTGCGACAATAGAACCCGTACATGATCGCAGTGTCGAATTTTTCAGCGACTTCACTGAAACAGAGACTCCTATCACGGTGTGTCAACTCGGCGAACCGTGTGGAGCGTTTCTAGAAGCCGACACTAGCCTGGTTTCTTTGCTTTCCGACCCCTACAAGAAAATCGCGAATGGCCACGAGGTTGCTCGCAATGTCATCAACTTGTTCAACTACAACCAATCTACCTTTGTGACACACGACAATTTCACCTTCTACGACACGGAGAGTCTGCCTGGTTTCACTGTCGCAACGAGCTTGGAATTGAAGATCTGCGATGCGCGACATGAACTAGGTTTGAATGACCTGCTTGACCAGTACGGGTTGAGGTATCTAAATCCAGGCAAGATACCGCCAGATGCGAGAATAGCCGAACTATTGGCGATGAATGGCAGCAATGCAACATCGACGCTGAACAGTAGTGAACTTGGGACCTCCACCTTGCAGTATCAAACTGACCTGGCATTGCATGACGCCTTCCGAAACGCCAGTACTTCTGAAGAGACCATATTGGACCACCTGACTTTCCCGCCCTTGCCTCTCTTGGACACCACGAGCATTCAACCGGTAGGGGTTCTGCGAGAATTGTATCTCGCCGACGACGACGTGACCTACCGCAAGTATGACGAAGCAGGCAGACAGAGCGTTTTAGATCAGAACTCGCGCTTACCGGAGACGTACTTCTGGACCGATGTGGTCCAGAACAGACTGGGCGTTCCGTTGAAGCAACGCGCTAATTTTGGGGTCATCGGTCACGCAGACGTAAACAAGTTGTTCAGCCTGTGCTGGATTGTGGAGAACACCGTGATGGAGAATGACGAGATTGTAGCCCCCGCAGGAGGTGCAACTACCTCCTCTGATCCCTATCTCCTGTCATTGATCGACTCAGTGAACAGTACTCTCAACCGAGACACCACAAGTTCGTTGATTGCAGCGTCGAGCTCGAGTGGTACTACTATGAACACCTCGTCCGCAAATGGTAGTGCCAATGCAAGTAGTACAAGTACTAGCTCAGATGTAGTTTCTCTTTCTAGCACATCTACCACTGGTGCGAGGACGCTTGCGCCTTTGCCTGACGGGTACTACAGGAATTCAAAGGGTGAAGTAGTTCAAGGCGTTTACGTAGATGAGAGTTCTATTGCGCCACTGCTCTTCCCCGATACGGAAGCCGCGCAGACTGCAGCTCGAGCAGCGACGTCCCCGGTGGAACTAGCAGACCTATTTGATGTGGATCTAGAAGCGGCATTAACAGCAGCTGCAGGAGCTTCTGCACAAGAAACTATCGTTGCAAACTTGTCGAATACAAGCAACAGTTCTAATCTTTCCTCTTCCCGCCGCCTAGTCCTACTCGATGCCACCACGACTACAAGCACAACGACCCCAATAAGGCAAAAGGTGCACTTTTCGCACAGAACTGTGCTAGAACTAGGAAAAGTTAGATTTCAGGGACCACGAAGCGACTTAGGAGTGTTTCAGTGCACGATGGGCAAAGCATGCGAGGTCAGACTCAGAGGCGCGATGTCTAAACCCCATAGATTGGGCATCTACAAAAAACAGCTCGGCGACAAACATTTGAAACCACTGGTCCATTGCAGCGCACTGTCGACGAAGAACCTGGTGGTTCAAGTTCCAATAAAGGAAATCGTGTCGCCTTTGGGAAATGTCACTACTAGCATCAACTCAAATGCAACGGGTAATGGGTCGAATGTATCTGAGAACTCAACATCGGCTACAGTCCCAGTCGCACCTACGTCTACATCTTTGAGAGGGACAAGTACAACTCCAACGATGCCCGATTACGCCAGCGACAGCCTTACCAGCTTGCTCAACATCAACACATCCACGTCTGCCAGCACTGCCACGCTCCTCGAGGACAAAGCGCGCCTCCTGTCTGGCCCTTTTGTAAATTTTTTCGCGACCGAGATTGCCTATGAAATTCCAGCTTCGGTCTTCGCAGATTATAGCGTGTTTGAGCCCTCTGACTCCTTCGTTTACGAGGTTTGCTACGGTCCTCACGTTCTCGTGAACGAACTCGTAGTGAACGGACCCTTCCCACTGATTGCCGCAGTCAACCTCCGAGAAAGTACCATTGTGCCCGTGAACAGTCTTATCACTTCCCAGGGGAACACGCTAGCCGAAGTGATGAGACAGCAACAAGAAGCGAGCCCAACTTCTAGTACGGACAGCGACAGCAGCACATCTTCTTCTTCGAGCACATCACCTGTGCACACGTCCGCAACGTCGACGATCTCGTCGCTGTACCCTCTAACTATGAAGAAAAGATCAAGCTCTTCAACGGGAAGCGTTGACAGCGTGGTCCGCGTCTACGGTGGTCCTATATCTATTGGCCCTACCTTGCAACAACTCTCCTCTCCATTCGGGCCCCCTTTGTTGCAGCACTTGTTGGCCTTCCCGAACCCTGTTTCAGACTATGACAGCCAGACTGGGCGATCTCAAACTAGTTTCGATGGAGGCCTGACAGCATTGAGAGAGGAAACAAGAGAATTAGTGGCGCAGAGAGGAGATTTTTACCCAGTTCAAAGCGGTCGAGGAGACGATCGTGTGGACCTCAGTCGGCAACTTGTGGCTAGCAGCGCTCTAGAACGCTATGCCAGGGTGAACGCGATCAACGCTGCTTATGCGGCAAACGCGAGTCGCGCTTTGCCGAACGAGGAAACACTCCGCAATATAGATCTGTCGAACCCCAGATTGACACAGTACAAGCCTCAAGTATTCGTCGGAGAAGTCGTGTGCTTGTCCAGAACGGAGTGTTTACAGTTCACGGCGTTGAAGGAGATGCTGGCTGGGGATACGGCAGGGACGTTTGCCTATAAGTGTGTGGCTGTGGACGAAAGTGGAACGGCTATGAACAGCTCAACTACGTCGAACAGTTCTTCAAGTAACAACAGCACAACAGCGACGTCTTCTATCTGTCCTGTGCAAATCAGTGGCCGATTCCCAGCAGGCCTACAAACCTCCAGTGAATTAGGAATTGGACTGGTTCTTGCAGGGGAGAGTGACACTGATCCAACTTCTTCTTCTAGTACGATGCAGAGTGACACTGATCCAAGTACTAGTACTATAGGTACAAGTTCTTCTAGTACGATGCAGAGAGAACCAGAAACCTCGACGTCTTGTGGAAATTTCACTGCACCCCTGACGGCTGGCCCGCGTGGTCTCTCCTTCAATCTGACAGTGACCAGTAACGCAGTCGATGTGGAACTAGCTCTCTGCTGGCGTACTGCGCCAACAGCGCAGCCAATTCGCATAGGCAGCTTGCTACTGATGTCATCAGCAAGTGCTAGTGCAGTCGTAGGAGCCGAAGGAGGAAGCGGTGCTGTTGGTGTTGGTGCCAGTATGACCCAAGGAGGTGGAGGGTATTGAGGTGAATGAAACAATCCGGAGCACTCGGAGATCTTAACGAAATTAACTGAAAGACCTTGAACAAACTTGATATCAGGTACTAGGGCTCCCCTTGCGTAAAATATTAGTTGTCCTTGACTCAAATAGTATTTTTGTCGTGCTGATGGACATGGCATATTACTCACAATCTCAGACACCGAAAAGGATGCGTTTTTTTCAAACAATACTGTCGTCGTGGACATGACACCTTACTCGCAATATCAGTCACCGAAAAGTAGCATCTTGAGTGCATAAAGCATTGCATCTTCGCACCAGACAAAGTTCAATAATATCAGCAGATATCTTCGCCAGAAACAATCCTGATGTATTTATCTCATAAAATATCTGTTGTACAGCTACCTAAGATAGAAGGTCCACCTACCCCTTAAGTTTATTTTAGGCTAGAATCCTTTTACCCGGAACAAGCAGTTACCCCAGTAGCAGTACCCCTGACCCTGGTGAAGATGGCCGTAACAAAACACAAGTTGAGTTGATCATCGTTCTCGTTATGGTAAGAGCAAGCTCCATTTTTCGTTTGTAGTTCAGGTACAGGTTCAGTTGTTCTCTTCGCTGTTCAGTGGGTCAACAGTTCTGTTCGTAGTTCTGGTTCATTGTGTTTGTGTACATGGTAGATTGAATAGTCTTGATGAATACTTGTCGTGCTCGTGGGGTTTCTGAGAACGTTATATTCGGGTCGGAATGCTGAGCTTCTTTGACGAAGCTTGTTCTTTTAGCAAAGTTTAGAGTTTGTTGTCTACAGTGAATCAGGGATTGAAATTTGGAACAAAGATGGAAAAGCAAAAAGTGTGGACAGCGCCTTACTCACATGAAGAAGCGTATCCTTCAAGAGCTTCCTTGTTCCTATGGTGGAAAATCAGCACCCGGAAGTACTTCAAGTTACACCCGCCCTTTGGTCGTGCTTGGGGAAAAAATATGAGAGGGTTTTTTTGCAAAGTGGGCAACAAAAAAGTTCGATTTTGATCTTGACTTCGTGGACCCGAATTGAGTGACAAGAAAAATGTACAAGCAAAGCTGGCCAAAACACCCAAAAATGAGAAAATGAAGCACGTCGTGAGTCATAAATTCTCTGGGTGTATTTTGTTTTCGATTCTGAACCCAACTTTACATTTACCGTGAATGAACAGAGCAAAGCCCGTTGCCTATCATCCTGAGACGTCGAGCAACTACAGCTTGAGCAAAAATGCCTTCGTTGCCACGTTTCCGTCGAACATTGTTCCTCGGAGCATCAGTACTTGCTCCATTTTCACACCAAGTCCTCCTGGTCTCCGCCGAAGATGCTACGCCATCAAGTGCTGCTGCAACAGGCACAGTCTCTGCGGAGTCACAGAAAAATAAACAACTCTCTGCTACGCCAGAAGTGAAGTCGATTTTGGAGTTAAAGGTGAAGACGAACAGAGATGACAAGGCAGAAACAGTACGCATCATGCTCCACAAGGACTGGTCGCCAGCAGGATATGATCGCATTCTGCAGTTGGTGAAGTTATGAGGTTCGTGTTTGTGATTGAGGATCTTCAGGTTATACTTCTAGATAGGAGATTCTTTACATCAGCAACGTTTGTGATTGAGGATCTTCAGGTAGTTGTACTTCTAAGTAGATAGAAGATTCTTTCCATCAAATCAACGTTTGTGATTGAGGATCTTCAGGTAGTTATACTTCTAGATAGGGGATTCTTTACATCAAATCAACGTTTGTGATTTTGGATCCTCAGGGTATACTTCTAGGCTTTTCATGATACTATTTCTACTTTAGCTTTACATCATTTTACAACTAGATGAACCCTTTCTAATCATCGAAGGGTTCTTCAGCGATCTCCGTTTTTTCCGCACGATCCGTGGCTTCATGACGCAATTTGGTCTTAGTGGGATTCCAGAAACGAATGCTGCTTGGAATGGAAAAGCTTTGCCGATCGAAGAGGTTTTACTTCGTAGTTTATTTCAACTATTCGTTGAGTAGATTTTGCCTTCGTGATGAGTAGGCTGTTCGCGTTCACATGGATGACGAATTTCTCAACACTCGTCTCCTGCTGAACATTGCGGCAACCTCGCTCTACTCATGCTTGTCATGATACAATGAGAATTCACAAATTCCAAAATAAACGTCAATATCTTCCAAAACTACACAGCCCAAGCAGTCCAACCTTCGTGGCATGCTAACATTCGCCATGGATGGTGCCAAGCGACGTACGACTCAGCTATTCATCAACTACGCGGACAACAAGTTTTTGGATCCGCAAGGATTTGCCCCAGTAGGCATGGTCATGGACGAAGGAATGCATGTGATCGATCAACTATACTTATGGAATGACAAGAACGTCGATTGTAAATAATTGAAATTGAGATCCTGCTCGTTGTATAAGTATCTATAAGATAACAGGCACAACTTACTAGTCTAACAGAGCAGTAGTTTTTTATACTAGCACGCGTGGAGCATGGAGTGCGTGGAGCGCAGATCTCTAAGGGACGCAAGAAGCGCCCACTTTAGCTCCATGCGGTCCATGCACTCCATGCCATGCGAGCTGGCAAACCTTATGAATTGCTCTGGTATGAGATAAGGCACAACTTACTAGAAGCTCAACAGTGAAAGTAGAGCTTCAACTTCTTAGATAGTATGTATCGATATTAAAGATGTTGAATGCTTCACCATTTCCCCCAGCTTTCTGATTGGTTTTCTCTTCCTCTCCCTTTCATACCAAAGCGAGTATGGGGAGAAACCGAACCAGGGGAAAATCCAATCCCAAGGAAACAAATATCTGGACGAAAATTTTGAGAGGCTCTCGGTGCTGGAGAGCGCAACAATTACCCCGGTAGGTCCAGGAGAAATTGGCAGTTATGAGAAAGATTGCGTATTGGCGATGTGTAGTTAGGGCAATAAAGGCTCTTGGCAATCACGAGAGACGAGTTTAGATAGAGTGATTTTCCTTTGTGATTGCACAAGTCAATGAAGATGACAAAAGCAAAACGGCATAAGTACTTCTAAAAGCAGGAGTATAACAGTATTTCTCTAGCTTTTCTTCAATGGCATTGGCAGCTTCTGCTTAAAATAAATTGCAGATACGAAAACCAATACGAAGAGAAGAAATCACACTCCTTTGTTCTCCCACTTGTGGTGGAATTACTTGTCCTCGTGGAATCGATGATCACATCAGTGTCTATCTCTATGGCAGGACAGAAACGCCCCTCTCTAATACATTCCCGGCAGTCCAGCAAGTGCAGAAGGGGCTCATGGATGGATGCCGAGTTTCAGTACGCTATTGGGGATTGTGGCACTCATTGTTGCCCTGCGCTACCGAGGACAGATCCTAGATGCTATCTTCAACAGGAAAGGAACACAGCCAGAGCACATGAGCATCTCGCCTACATCATCAAGAGATTTCGCTTTGTAAAAAAATGTATCTAGTTGTAGATTTTTTGGGAGTAGAAGTGGTACAACTGGTAGGAGGAATCTCGGGTCGTGGCTGGGTGGGGGATGTTGAAACATGTACAATCTTAATCTATATCACGATCAGAACACGAACAAGAACATCATCTGGGGAAATTTCATGAAATAACTTGGATTCATCTACTACTCGTCAATGAAGACATGAAGATTGATTTTGCTGTCGTGCGCACGTGCATCATAATGTGGGCTTATCTCTGACTAGAAAAATCTTCGTCATCAAGGACCACAAAGGTTCCATTGATTAGAAAATACTTCACGCACGCAGAAGACCAAGAGCGAGATCACCCGGAATATTAAACCATGTACATTTTCAAGAGCGATCAGTCGGTTGCGGGCGTTACATGACTGAGAAAGGTCATAGAATTTCCAACTAAGGAACATGAAGGATTTGGAGAGCAGTAAAAGATCTGTTTCTCATCGGTCATGAGTTGATCGGTTCCTTGGAGTCGGAGATCTGCTTTATTGTTGTCCTTGTGGGTTTCTAGTTTAACACTTTACTTTTTCATTGTGAAGGTGAAACGAGCGAGGAGACGTAAACTCAATCTTTTTCTTAAACAAGAGCTAAGTCTAAGATGACTTACAAATAAGTACTCAAAAACAAAATCGGAAATATTATGGTGACTTCCCCAGGTCTCTCTGCAGGTGGAGGTGTGCCACCTGGTGGCTCTCCTGGCGGTCCCTTTGCTGGTACGGAATTCGGTGAAATTTTACAGCATGCGGTGCAGATCAAGTTATGATGGGAAGGAGCAGGAATAGGAAAACAAGGAAAAAATTATATCAAGGACAAAAAGACTCCTTTAGCTTTCGCCATAGAGACTCCCTTTAGCCGTAGAAAGGAGTACACCAGCACAATGTCGTCGATGCAGCTTATATATAATATCGATCTTCAATCATTTTGAATCTTCTGGTGGTCATAGGCATAAGGACAGCTCCCGTATCCGGTAGAAAGAGGTTGCTCTAATGAGAGGCCAGCAATCAGTGGAAAAACGCAAGCGCTTCGAGTCTCTGCCTCAATTTACACAGCATTCCCTTTTTTTCGGCGAAAGAGACGAAATGCAGAGAATGCGAGAGTGGCCTTTCGAAAAAAGATTGGAAAAGTATGGTTAGCATCACTACTTGGAGGTGGAGGCACTGTTTCTTCAGGAGCTCTATGTTACTAGAGTCTGAGTTGTATGTTAGGCGTATTAGAGTAATATGTAGCTTTTTCCATCTCCAGCTCGCGCCAGCTTGAGCATCTTTCTATCTTCCATGAATTAGATAGAAGGAAAAGTCTGAATGATACAGATACTGACTCGGTGCAAGAACACATTTAATTGACATTCGGATACTCAAGATCATCTTCCTTTTTATATGAAGGTCAAGATCAAGGTGCTGGAAAATCAACCTACACTCTTTCTTGTTCATGAATAAGCGACGGAACTGAAAAAACTCGGCAATCAGCTTTTCTCGAAGGGACAATGCGTCGAGGTACTACTTCCCTAAAGTAAGTAAGTACTTACTACTAGTACTACATCAGTAGGTCTACTTCTAGGTCTCAACACTGGATGGTAGTTGTAGCTACGCATAACGCCTCATTATATTTTTTCATCAGGCCATCCACCAATACGAGCTAGGGTGCACACAGGTCTTCCTCTTTTCCGGCTGGGTTAGCCTCTTTTGGCCCCCCTTTATATCATGCTTAATCTTTCCCTGACCTTGTTGTTCCAATCTGGTCTGCGTGTTTCGGCTCTTCAAGCGCTGTACGATCCCTATTGATTCTCTTACCTCACTGTTAGTACTGTTAACATATTACTGGTTGTTCCTTTTTCATCAGGCCATCCACCAATACGAGCTGGCGGCAGCTTTGTTTGTGTGGGTCGAGAGTCGCGATCCAGCGTGGAAGAAGAGCCAGCGAGGGATTGACGATGATGTCTTAGTCGTTGTCGAGCCTGAAGCTGCTGTGCAGGAAATTGTTATGGAGAAGGCTCGATCTTCAAGAAAAAGAATACAACGGAGATGAAGGTTCCATCTTCAAGAAAAAGAATACATGATCAGCAGATCCAAGGACAAGAATTAGCACCTATCATCAATACGGATCACGAATACCGTATCGAAAGAACGCTTTCGCTTCCTTGAATTAGACTGATTTGTACTTCTAATCATCGTATTGATACAGACGCTTTTTTACGGACACATGGAGGCAGCGTTTCAACCAGTCTTTGCCGCGAAGATGGTAACCGTATGGCTTGTTTCATCGTAACCATTACTTGGCGTCGAGAAGAACCTCGAAAAAATGACTTTGCTTTCTTACCACAGCCAGGAGTACATTTCGTTTTGGACAGTAAGAAAACAGACTAAGTAGGTACTCGACAAGTTGTAGGTGATCAATGCATCAACGATAGAATGAAAGTTGTGTATCTTTCTATTTTCACTGGATAGGTACGGGTCCTCGTATAATCACGTAGGCCTCAACCGGCCTCGGTCTGCTCTAATCGCAAAGTGGAGCGGACTTCGCCGACTAGGGCGCGTCACGAAAAGAGCAAGGTACTGCCTAGTCGAGTACAGATGCCAACACCCGATGAAAAAAAAGAAGAACATCAAGAGACCAACAGCAATAATAGCACTACAATTGCTCCAGGCTCGTTTACGTCTGGTGGTAGTAGTAGTAGCACAAGCATCAAGTGGAACAGCACGAACAGCACTTCTTCGGAAGATGTGGAACCAGAACGAAGTAACACTGCTACTGGCAATGGAACTACAAATAATAAGACGAATCCGCTCTACGAGACAGAAGCACATCAAACAGCCGTACATTATGAGAGAAAAACAAGTTCTCAACTTGAAGTTTGATACTGTTGCATTTTAGGGTACGATAGATATTGATATGACTTAGTTATCAATCATGCATATGGAGTAACTAAATAAACCTAGCAGGTAGTTATCTTCATTACTACCTTCTACCTAGTAGTTCTAGTTCTAGTACAACGCAAATAAGAAAACTTTCAACATCTAACCAAAGTTTCGCGAAACTTGCGCACTGAACATCGCTGCTGCGTTTTTGAAACAGCAAGAATGGGCCCAATGCCGTAAAGTCTGCACCTTTGTCCTGCAGCATAATCCTGGATCTTATGGAAGTGAAATGAAATAGAAATTGATCGATCCAACCAGCTTCTTACTCAGTCGGCAGGAGAAGGAGTAGAACGTGAACGCGTCAGCAGGGTTATTCGTCAGCAGGAGTAGAACTCTCTTGATTCTAAGACTACGTAAAAGCGCTATACAGACGTGCACAGGCTTTGCTGGGTCCGGCAGGCTGCGGCAATTTGGAGACCGATTTAGCACTAGAGGACCTTGCACAAGCATTGAAAGTACAACCGGACGCCAAGGAGGTATCGACTTTTCATCTTTGGATGATTAATAAGATTGCAATCAACGTCAACCTGTCTCCTGCTCAACACCTGTCAATAAGATGCGCACATATACCTGTCTGCTCAACACCTATTTTTCAACATTCTCCACCTTATTTATTTCTGATAGGTCCGCGACCTCTATAACCGATGTAAAGCGGAACGCGACAAGTCAAATCGTAAAGAAGCGACTGCTTTTCGCGGTATCTTTCGAGGAGAGAAGGACTTTCAACTCTCGGATCATGCTGAGGATGGAGCAGATCAGACACATAAGAAAGATTTATGGATGATGATCTACTAGTAACGACCTGTACCAAGGGCTATACAACTAGCGCGGCTAGCACTCCAAATGAGAAAACGTTGATGATGATCTACTCGTGACCTGGAACACAGTTTTTTTCCAGGTTTTTAAGTCTCCAGGAGAACCTTTTGATTTTTAAGTCTAAAGGAGAAGTTAGTAGGTGTTTAATTACAAGCCATAGGGGAGGTGTAGTACTAGAGGCCAAGGGACGAGATGTTCCTCTTCCTTCCTTACCTCTGAAGAAAGTCATGAATAAAACGTAATGCTGGAACCACGTCTAAAAGACGCGCCCCCTTTACCTCGGAAGATCATGGACGCGATCATGCTGCGGGATTTGTACTATCGAAACGGCAAGATCGAAGATGCTATAGCGCTTGATAAACAGATCGAGGCAGCAAAAGCTGCGTTTCTGGCACCTGTGGATTATTACAACCCAACACCGCAAATGATCGAGGATGCGAAAAAACATGATATAGATCTTAAGGCATATGAGCTTGATGATAGTTACACTTTTCTCTTTTCTATCTTCCTCTGGTCTTTCTTTTTTCTAGGTAGGTCGGCTCCACCACAGTTTTTAGAGGTCAGATTACAGATTGCCGAGTAGATTTACATCATCAGAGTACAGAGTACAGAGTACAATATACAGTTGTAGTAGATTTAGACATGATAGGACGAGAGGAGAGAACCACGACGAGAGGTCAACTCTGATTGATTTGTTGAACTGAGTTGGGTTTTAGTGAATACCAAACTAACGACTTCAACTTCTAAAGAGTTGACATATACTAAACTTCAACTTCTAAACAGTTGACAGACCCTTTGGTGCAAGCAGAATTGGCAAAGCTTGAAGAGCGCAAGCGGAATGGTGAGAGTGTCACCGACCTCGTCAAAGGCCTTGAAAACGAGGAAGCCCTACTCCTCGCAGAAGACAGCGCAGGCGGTGACTTATGGTTGTATTGATTCTGACACTGACTTAGACTGTCTGACAAAAGAGGTTGATAATGTTGGTGACTTGATCGTGATCAGCATATACTGACTTGTGAATTTGGGTTGCTTGTGAATTTGGGTTTCGCTTGTAATGATAGTTATCAAGTTCAAGTTCTAACGTGTCCATCTGTAATTGAAGGGACGCGGAAGAGACGTGGACAAGGACGAGGTATTCTTTTCAATTTTTTTTGGTCATCACTCACTCTCACAAGGACATATGAATGTGTCACAGTCACATGTATGATTTAGATAACAAACAAGAACTCAGCACGATCTGTGTAGATTGGGCGATAGCAACCTATCCTATCCTATCCTATCCTATCCTATCCTATCCTATCCTATCCTAAGAACGAGAGTCGTTCTGTTTTCCACAAGGCCGAGAAAAAATCACAACATGAAATCGGAGTTGCATTGAATCAATCACTCAATTTCTTCAACTAAAAAATATTTGAATCTTTCCACAACCAACACAGATGAATCGCGATATCCCCAATGGCAGAAGGTCAGTGGCGTTCTCCTCTCAAGCATTCCACTGCCTATACGGATGATTGGTGAGCGCTTACGGGTAGAAATGCAAAAATTCTTGCCTCATTGGTTTCTGGAACTATCCGAACAAGACCAACGATGGTGGTGTTACTTTTTTGCTTTTTTGATCTTCGGTTGTGCTTACCGATTAGGGTGGAATTTTGGCTTTCCACGATGACAGCGCAGCACTCGTAGCTGTGTTGTTCTTTAAGGGCTAATGACAGCACCGCAGTCCTCGTAGCTATGTTTATTGTCTTGTACTTAGATAGTTGTTTTCGTGTATGATCATCTTCTTGTAAGGGTCGAGATGGTTGATGCTGGGTTGGAGCTTGACTATCTCAAAATTCTACTGCGATCTTAACATGATCAGAGAACAATGAGAATGTTTTTTATAAACTTCTTCAAAAATCTTCTTCAGGAATCGTTCGGCTTAGTTTTTTTTTTCGCATTATATCAATCCTACTCTGCCAACACATTGGTCCTACTCCACAGAATGCTTGCGTACGTGGTAATTATCCGCACGCGGAAGCAATGACATGAGCATGAGCATAATCTTGCGTCGTGAATCTCCAACTCCAACAGTCAATCTTTGAAAGTGCTGAAGCATGGCTTCTACGAGAACTAAGACTGACAAGAATCTTCAGTGTCCTGTGGTCTTGTCTTTGATGTTGGCTCCTTCTGAAGCTTCCAAGTGTAAATCACTGCAAGACGAAGATAGTACACGTACCTTGACGCTCAAGTTTCATCGAACGAGATAAAATGCAAAAACATTTCGATCGGTCGTCAACGTCATCTTCATCTTGACTGGTCGTGAGTCGGACTCGTACTAGATTGGTCCACATCATCGGAATCGGTGGTCTTTTGCCAGTAATGAATATAGAACCTCTTGGAGCTTATCGCTCCTCTTAAAACGTGAGCTATAGGCGTTCACTTGCGAGTCTCATTATATTTTGGTGCACATCTCATTCTCATCGGTCTTTGGCTTTTCTCTCGGTCGTGATTCGCCCACTCGCGTCTCGTACTCTCTCCTGGATCGATTGATTGTACTTACCTCGTCTTTTGAACTTCACCGTCAGCATGAATGACTACTCCATTCTGTATGTGTATGACATCATGATCAGGCTTGGTGTCTATAAATGAATCATCGGCATCGTTTTCATCGTTGAAGTTCTAGTATTGAAAGATTCTTAAATGATGGTACGGAAGATACGCAAGTGACCTTCAAAGAATTCTACTTATTATCCAAACATATGCCATTTCTATAGGATTAGAAAGAGAAGGCATTCTGATCATTCATCTGCGTAAAGGCTTCTTGTCACGCAAACTACAAGAATTTTTCAACTCCAACTGTAACAGTAACTACAAGTGCACAAAGAACTTCACTCTTTTCAAGAAGAGTAAAGATGGCTCAAGAGAAAATGGCAGCGCAGGTGGAAGCTGGGTCGCTGGAACCCAAAGCTTCGGATCAAATTGGCGACTCCTCCAAGGCGGTCGTCGGGGGAAAACCGGCTCCGGATATACAAGAAGAGAAACATCAAGACCAAGAGGTCGTAGCGGCACCGGAACCGGGAGAAGTCGAGGAGGCCGTCAAACCGGCTGCACAACGGAGCGAAGTGGCGGGGGAAGATGTGACTGGAAATGTCGCTAACGCTAGTATGGAAGCAGCTAATGCTGTTGAGAAGGCGAAACCAACAAAAGCAGCAGAGCCTTATGACGCCATGAACTTTTTCATTTGAATTGGATGGATGGTCTTTGTTTTAAGTACGTCATTTGAAGAACCGAAAGTACGTCTTACAAGTAGTACAACAGGTACTCTTTAGTTACTGTTGCAACAGGTACTCTTTAGTTGCAAGTAGTACAACTAAACAGAGTTGGAGTTCAACTCAGTGTACAGACTACTACAACAGAACTCTCTGTGTACAGACTACTACTCTCTCCTGTACAGACTACTCAGACTACTAATACTCAACAAAGACTACAACTACTCTTTTGTTAGTACAGCTACTCTTTTGTCGTCTTTGTCTTACAAGTCGTACAACACCTACTCTTTAGTTACAAGAACTACAAGACCCCAGAAATGATGACAACTTTTTTATGGGTGTTAGTACCGAAATTGGTCCGGGGTTGAGTATTCGTACCTCTCCTCGGCTTGTTGTATTTCTTTTTCTTGTTCTAGGACTCTGTGTATTAATTAATGAAAAGATTGGAGAGAGATGGTGCAGCCATGCTTTTGTAACGTTGTTGTTGTTGATGCTCTGATCATACTTACTTTCATTCGAGCAATGTGGAAAGTCATCACTTCCTGTCCGATGGAGGTCTGTGCTGCCTATTGCTCTGTTTCTTATATTTCTCTAAAACGTAGATGGAGATGAAATCGACACCGAGAAAAAAAAAGGAGAGGACATCCAAGGCCAAGACGCTCATGATGATTCAAAAAGCACGACCGATCATGGCCAAGGCGGAGTAGACAAGAGCAATTAAGACTGACGACTGTCCTTTCACCTAATAACTCAAGACGAGATCTTATCCTGTTCCTGTCATAACATAATTTTAATTTCTTTGTGGTACGTACGCTTGGATAACCATAATCGTGCAGGTATCTATCTATGTGCATCTTAGGTTTCGTGCGATGATCAGTGTTGTCTGTCTCTCTCTTTTACATGCTTCTTTTATTTTACCGCTCTAAAAATAGACAGCAAGCGATGATTCTGATTCGAAGAAAGACACTGTCAGCGTCGAGAGCTCCTCGCCTGGAGACGCTTCTGCACAAACCCGCGATGCTGAGAGCGTGAGCGGCGTCAAAGGCGAAAGTGGCCATTAAGACTGACGATTTTCCTTCATCTAAATCAATGAGCCTCTAGGTCTAGGTCTAGCGCTTTTTCATAGAACAGAAATCGTCACAAATTGATAAACAAGTATGTGGAGGATCCTGAGTGTCGTATGGGTATGATGATGATCTGTCTTAGCTGTCACACCTGGGTACGGAGCCTGGCCCTGCGTTGGGTCTTCGGCTTGTAGGACGTCTATATCGGCTTCATGTAGAAGTTGTACTTCTACGTATTCGGCATGATGTTCACTGCTTGTAGTATTTGTATTACTCTATCTCTAATCAAAAGCCGACGCGAAGAGCAGACTTGCGAAACACGAAACCATTTTGCCTTTGTCTGGAAATCCTCAAGAATCAGAAGGCGCTTATGACAGGCGCCAGAATTCTGTGCTCTTCTAAAAAAGATTCAAATTGTACTATTTGTATTTTTTCGATTTTTTGTTCTTCGCCCTTTCTGTGTTTCAATGCAGGATCTCGCTCCAGTATCTTCAGTTTTGATCTATCACGATATCAATCATGGGTCGTCCACTCTTCTAAAACTAAACTCGAGCCGCGAGTGAGGCAGAGGCTCAGGCACAGGGCGAAAAGGTGAAGGCACCGTCAGGTGGAGGTAGGTGGACGAGCCGTCTTGGTTTTTAAGACAAGACTATTTCTTTCCTCTGGACTGCTGCATGACTTCTTAATCAAAAGACATAATCAAGGACGAGAGGCTTGAGCTACTTTTTCGATTTTTTCATCCATAGCAATAGATCGATGCAACGTTTTCTTCTTGAGCTCGAACATGTTACTCAGTCCGTCGATCTCGAAGTCATTTTTCTCCATATGATCTGGGTAGTTTGTTGGGACCACTTTTTACATCAAGTTGATTTTGTATGTTGATGTTCAACTCCAACAAACAAAGGATTTCTTCTTTGAAGTAGATTATATACAATCATGCGGAAGTAGATGCGACTCCTATCTGACGACACCAGCTACAAGGTGCGCTTATGCTATTTCTTTGTGTCTACTTATATCACTCTAACAAAAGGGGAGCATGTTCAGTGGTCGCCGTAGGGGGTCAGCTGGGGCCGCTGCAGCTTCCGGTACTGGAAGCGCTGTAGAACATTAAGACAACAAATGTTCTCTCCTTTGAACAATCATTTGTCCTTCACCCTTTTTGTGTTTCAACGAAGGAGCTCGCCGGTGTTTCTCCTGCTCAGCTTGTAGTACTTCTATGCGTCTAGTACTAGTGCTCCACCCTTCGATTTCGAATGAGTAAAAGGATTCGAGGAACAAAACAAAGCACAACCATTTTTCTTCTCCTTGTGTCTCTTTTGTGTTTGATTTTCCAGCATCCAATGAATTAGAGCCTCGACCTTTTGCCAGGCACGTCAATCGATCAGTCAATCAATCAGTCGCTGTTGATGATCTGGCCATACTTACTCCCAATCGAGCAGTGCCGAAACCCTTCACTTACACTGCTTCCGATGGTCTGTGCTGGCTGTTTCTCCGCTTCTTTTATTTCTCTAAAACGAGGCAAAAACTGCAGAGTCTGCCGGTGATAAAGGACCTGCAAGTGAGGCAACTGCGAAAGGGGTTAAGGCTGAGAGCGGGGAAAAAAAACATTATGCTGATGACGCCAGAAATTTATTTTTCATCTAACTTACAAGTTGGATTCATTTCGGTTTTTTTATTAGATTTAGAAGTAACGTTCGCTTTTTTTATTAGAAGTAACTGCTCATCTAACCACAAGTACTATTTTTTGCAAGATTTGGTTGGAAGATGAAGAAGCTCTTCTTGTTGATCTTGACTATCTACTTCAAGAACAATAGAGTTAGTAGCTTCTCTTCATACATAAATATACAATTTTGTGCAAGATCCAGTTGGTCTCTTAGTCGTGCTTTGTGCCTCTCCTCGACTTGTAGTAAGTACTTCATCTTCCATCACAAGGTGTCACTAGAAGGAAAAAAGAAAATCGTGGAAAGTTCCCACTTGATTCTGTAGTTGCTTGGCTGCCTGTTCTCACCACGTTTTCTGCTTTTACCACTCTAAATAACGGGGTGGAGGTCGAGCATGGGGAGTTTTATTAAACGTTTTTTACCCGGACGGGGAACGGATGTCGGCCAAGCGGATGGTGCTACTGGAGATAAAGCCGGTGAGCATTAAGGCACCAGACGATTTCCTTTCATGTAATTCTAGACGAGATTAGTACTCTACTTTTTTCATATTTATGGATGTTGCTCTATATCTCTCATGCATGTTGTATTTGTGATGGTTCTACTTGTTTTTTTTTTTCTACAAGTTGTTTGTCAAGTTCACGTTGTTACCTCACGTAGAAGTGCCTACTGTGATATTTATAATTTGTGCATGCTATGGTTATGGATAAATAATCGTGAAAATATGTGCTGTAATGTATCTCGATTTTCGTTCGATGATCTGTGTCCCTCTCGACGTGCTCCTTTTTAGGAAAAAAGATCGAGAATGAAGGTTCTCTCCTTTGAATCATCCGTCCGTCACCCTTTTTGTGTTTCACGGCAGGAACTCACTCCAGTATCTTTAGTTTTTATCTATTAATTAGTATCAATTGATCATGGATCGTCCACTCGTCTAAACTCGAGCCGCGATTGGGCCACAGACAGAGGGAGACGAGGCTAATTCTGATATGGAGGCCGACAAAGATGGTGCGAGCGGGGGAAACAAAGAAAAACCTTATGACGCCAGAAACTATTTTTTCAGCTACTTCGGTCGGTCTTTCAATTATAAATATTCAATCTTGCCCAGTGATGTGTGTTGTTGGCTGTCACACCTGGTCGGCAGGGAACCTGGCACTGGACTGATTATTCGCGCCTCTCTTCACCATGTAGTACTAGTACTTCAACCACCACTCAAATATGAGAGAACAGCGAAGGGGAGAACAATCGCTCCATGAAGTATTTAGAAAAAAACCAGACGAGGAACAAGGTTCCACTGAGTACTTAGGCAGTAGTCCTCGCGTTAGAAAATTGATGATATAGGAGGTGGAAGGAACCAGGTAACACAGACAGACAGTGTGTACACCACTACTACCACTTGAGAGTACTTTTTTTTAGGGGTCGTTAGTACTAGTTGATATTTGAATTGGTATTCGCTGTCACCCTCTGCTTCGTTTCTTACTCTAAAACAGAACCAAAACCAAGGAGTCGGATCCTCAAAAAAAAAATCCAGCCTATCCTGGTAGTGATGAGGAAGACGAAGCAGGAGGTATTCGAAATCAAAGTGACTGGTGTATAGTGGTGTTATTTGAGGAAAATAGAAATGCTATGCTTTGTAAGCTAATCTTGCTTCTATTGTTCAACTTCATCTTGAAAAGATGGAAAAGAACTACGGTTGCTCGATCTACAAAATCATTTTTAGGAATCTTGCTGCTTCAGGTTAAGCTTAGAGCACGACAGGTGCTTATATTTATTTTATATATAAGACCCAAACAAAAAAATAGATCCTGCAGCAACACCAGAGGAAACTTCATCCGGTCAAGCATCAGAAGATACACCGCCACGGCCAGTTGATGGCGTGATTAAGGCTCTTCAGTTGATGTTTTGACTGTTGTATACTACTCGGCTTGATGTGTCGTGATACTAGATCCAGTTACCGAACTACTGCAATCCTAGAAATAGAAAAGGAGACACCTTATAAATATGTCCATACATACCAATATATTAGGATTCTACATGTACGGTAGTCGTGCTAGGAATATCTGTCTTCATAGAGTTACTTCCTCGTCTAAATTTCTTGAAAAAAGCGCCGAGAAAGAGGCTGGCCAAGACTCAAACAACAAGGAAGGTGGTTGCGCCACTTTTAAGGCTAATTACTTAATAGTATGCCTACGCCCACATCATCGTAAAAAATTAACGCTGCAACTAAGTAGTTGTGGCGTGAATATCGAACACAACAAGTATCCACAAACAAATAAGGGGGCACATTATCAATCAATGAGGTGTTTGCCTTTTCTAGCTAGGTCTCTCTGCTCCACCACAATCAATGAGCATTTTTATGGAACTAGTGCCATTTCATTGTAGAGAAATCCGAACCTTCTCACTACCGCTACAACTATAATGACGAAACCAGAGTAGTAGAAAAGTACTTGACTGACGTTGATACTCTTTTCCACCTTACTTTCTCTGGTTTTTGTTTTTTTCTATGTCCAGTTGTTAATTAGGCGCTAACAACTGTAGTAAGACAAAAAGCTCGTTTCTCGCCAAGGATGAGGATGCCACCACGACCACTACGAAAAATGGAGGTACTTCATCTAAGGGCTGCTCAATAAGCGCTTGGATCATCATCAATTATTTTAATACTCGTCCTTGTTTTATTGTACTAAGTAGAGACTATAGTTATCCTCGGGCCTGGGAAATCTTAGGCAGCTCGCCGAATAGATTCAATTCATCATAGTTATCCTCGAACTCGCACTCGGAGACCTCCTGGCTCATAGACATCATAGCGAGTAGACCTATAGTACCTTTGCTTCATATACTATTAGTTAGTAGAAGCAAGTTACTTAGTACCTCTCGTCGTATGATTGTAGCTGTACTCGAACTCGAAGACCTCAATGATCTGTAGCTGTACTCGAACTCTGTAGCTGTACTCGAAGACTTGCTTGTTTCCTCTCCTTCTTCAGGTGTGCCTGCAGTGAAGACCGATCTTCGAGGAGCGCCAATTTTGAAGGAGGGAAACCACTTGAGAGAGCGCCAATTGGGAGGGCAGGAATCTTCTACCCCGTCTGGTCATACCGAGCATTTTTTGAGAGGAACGAATGGACCCAAGAACCTTAAGGAGGCTTAATAAATCCTATAGTTGAGAAGTCATCTGGATCTATAAGACGGGTTAGATTAGCTGTTGCTGGCCGTCCTCTGGGAAAAACAAAAAGTCCGAGGTCGTACGTACCTTTGCATACGCATACCATGCTGATGAGTTGGTAGACAGTCATAGTTCTTCTTGTCTGTTGAAAGATGAATAAAACGGCTAAAGAACACGTCTGCAGCTCTAATGTCCAGAAAACGAGCAGTACCATCAAGAAGCGGAGCGACCGTAAAAATTAAGAAAAAGATACTAGGTCTTCGTCTAACAAGGTCCCTGCGGCTTCCGTCACTCATCTCATAGTTGTCATACTGCTTCACTCGAAAAATCATCAATTAAATCTAAACTACTAGGTTGGACAAGGAGCAGTCCCTGCGTACTCCCTCTCCTAAATAACTAGTATGCTCAGTCCTTCATCCTCTCAGACATGTTTATACTTTAGAAAGAAAGTACAAGTAGTAAACTGATACGTCGTCGGAACAACATGCAACACAAAACTGATTTTGAGTTGTTCACGGTAAAATACTTCATCAACATCATTGATTTTAACAAACAATACATAGAAGGCTATTATGTACAGAAGATTGACAGAACTGCAAAGTGATCCAATCGGCGAGCTCTAAAATGATATCGATTCCACTGGAAACAAGAACTACAACAACAACAACAACAACAACAACAACAACAAACAAGAGGTGCCGCCAGTGGAGCTCCTTTTGGGTTTTCCTGCTGCTGCCGCACTTTTCTTACGGCTTTCCTGTACTTATCTAAGGTTTTTGTGTCTGGAGTTATCTTAAGGTGCAAAGAAAGAGAAAATTCGCACCATTATCCACCATGCATGGTTCATCTTATTCTACTTGCAAAAGAGAAACAAGAATTCTCAAGGACGACTCCCAAGAATCGGTATCAACAATCATGACTCTCTCTAATGATGGTCGTTTTGTTCGTGTTGGGGACTTTGGCTGTCCTTGTCTACGTAAAAAACGACCGCCGCTTGTCGGCTTACCGCCAACCACGTAATGCGGATTTGGATACTGCGACCCTCCAAGAGCAAGAAGAAAAGCTTATGTCATAGACCATAGAACAGGAACCAATTATAGAGTACTCAACTAGACTAACGCAACTACAATTTATTGTTCACTTTCATCTCTAGCGCTAGTGCTAGCGCTAGAGCTAGGGCTCGAGCTAGTGCTAGAGCAAGCATACCAAATAATGGGACACCACGATAGATCCTTCTTGTAGAACGAGAAGAACTTGATATTACAACAAGCAACGTTGAACGCTGGTCTCTCTAATAAACCGAAGACCTCCAAAAAGCGGAGCGGATTTATGCGCTGGCTGTGTCCTTCGCGGACAATAGTCCTTGCGGATAGGGTCGTTGCCGATAAGGTTGATGCCGATGATACGGCGCACGTCGAAGCAAGTTTCTTGTTATCATGACCTAAACAAATATAATGAAGATCTAGATCATCTAGAACTAGACTATGACTAGTATAAGTATAATGAAGATCATCTAGATTATGATGGTGATATCAATATCACGTTGCTCAAAGGAATCTAACGTTTTCGGTCTTCCTCCGTCAAAGTCACTATATCACGTTGCCTAGCATGAAAAATAAACTGATGTTGACATCATTTAGCATATATGTTGATTAGGATTAGATTCAAGATCTTCACAATGGATATTTGTCATAATATCTTCAACGAACTGGTGCCAAATCCAAATGGTTGTGCAATATTGCAGATGTAGTTGGTGAACGGAAGTTGCATATGTAGTTGAAACAAGTAGTAGAACTAGAAATTATTATTCATCCTCTGGAGCAACACGATTCAGCAATAATCGATGACGAGAACGAAATATTTACATACTTACAACTCCAAGCTCGAAGAGAGTTATGAAACGAACTAGCCAAAGCTCGGGAGCCTCCTCTTGTTCGGTCTATGATTCATGACGAGAACAAAGTACGACAATGAGAAAATTATCGAGCATCATCAACGAACGCATATTAGTTAGTACACAGATTAGGTTTGATAGAAATAGAATTAGAAAAAGATTGGTGTAAGTGCAATCACACTCAACATGATTAGGATGTCAACAATTTCAAACAGTAAGCACGTTAGTTGTACGCATTCTTATTCTACAAAACAAGAAGATCAAGACCATTACTGTTACTCCATAAAAAATTGAAGATTATTTATTCGTAACGACTTCGCCATGAAAAAAAAATATCAGATTGTTGAAAAAAACCTACTGCTACTAAGATGAAGAACTGTATGAATTATTCATAATCTCCGCATATCGAATCGAAAAATATAATCATCTTCGGTGAAAAATGCTAGAGCTCCAAGGATAGGAATACACCAACGCTCTATTTTCCGATATCATTATCTATCATGATGTACTTGTACACACACATTATCATTAATATGTAGGCTGCAGGGTTACGTGATCTCTTCTAAAAGAAACGGGAAAATAACGAAAATTGATCTTCATATTATCGTAGAAAACGGGAAGACAACATCTTGTACAGGGTAAATGTTGTCAGCTCTTCAATAACGACAAGGCTTCGATGAGGCTTCCTTGGAGATCGACGATTGTCATAAGGCTTCGATGAGGACAGGGTGTTCGAGGTAGAAGACAAACTGGTCCCCCCGTTTTACACGAACACCTTCGTCCTACGACTCATAGAAGAGGAGAAGTAGTCATAAAAAAGTAAGTGCCAACTCATAAACGAGACTCATAGAGGACGAGGAGACGTAGATTTATTTCCCCCTCCACCTTTCGATGCATTTATAATTTCCCCCTCCAGCTCTCAATGGATCATTGATTTCTCATCCTCGACTGCGTACTCGTACAGTAGCAGTGCCGGAAGAAGAAGTTGCCGTACAATTAGGCAGAAGAAGAGCACTCTTCTTCTACTTACACTGAATGTAAGAACTCTCAAATTCGAACTCGAACGCTTTAACAAAAACATGAAGATACGTGATGCTCGAGCTGTCGATCGTGAACAAGATGGCACATCAGATGTTGTTGATGATCGTAAGGTAGCAGTAATTCGAGGTGTGCGTGCGCTGAATTCCTTAGGTCTAGGATTGCTTGCCTCATCGCGCACAAACCTCACCTACAAGGTCGTGACTACAGCAGGCAAGGTGGACAGACGAGGCGTAGAAGTTGGTGGAGGCGTAGTTGGAGATGAAGTTATGTTAAGAGTCCTTGTTATTTTTACCAACGCTATGATAGGTTCATAAAGCAGAGAAGTCATGAAGAACGTAAAAATTTGTACACGCTTAATAGAAGTAGTTGTAGCAGATATGAACCAGAGACAGTAACAGGTAGCGCTAGCGCCGCATTATTGATGCTTACAGAAGTTGTACCCAATTGGTGGTTGTGCAACTACTCTAACTACAACTAGCTTCTACATGCTGCAAGCATCGACTAACATTCGTTACCATTGCCACCTCCAGCTAGGACTAGGTAGCCTACTTCTAATAGCAACAGCACAACGAACCGCTAGGTAGCCTCTAATACCACAACCTCGTCAGACCATCACGCAACAGTTGCGGCGTTTGCCGTTCGTGTGACTCAGATATGCAGTGTGGTGGACCTTTTCCTGTCTCCGTTGATCGGAAGGATCATGGACACGAAAGGCCGCGTAGAAACAATGGCGCTAGCCCTCACTTCTATGGGCATCGCAAAACTCGTGCTAGCCTATGTGGTGGGATCTACATCAACTTCGGTGGAGAAAATGAAGTATGGCGAGAGTGATGTTTTTTTTGGGGACAAGATATTCAAATTCAAACAAGCAAGAAGCTGATCAAGAAGGATGGAGGACTGTTGACAAGGAAGACAAAGTCTAAGTACAATAAATATTGATATTCATCACCGTAGTTATGTTAGTAGCGATAAATATTCATCACTCGTCATAGCTACTAGCACGAAAATCACCTCCAGCAACCTATTTCCGCTCCTGATGAAAAATAGAAAGCCTTATAAGTAGATCAAGATTCCTTGTCTGTTTCTCGTCTCTAAACTCAAAAGCTCGCTTTCCTGGCCCACCATCTAGTCGTCTGGACGATGCTCCCTGCCTTTGTCCGAGGATCTTCAACGTGGCTGCAAGACATGTTTGGGCATGGTTCCCGAGAAGCCACACAGCAACAGATGACGACGATTCGGACTGCGACGTATGTGGGAATTCTGGGAAACTTTTTAGGGAGTCGCCTGATGCCTTATCAAAAACAGCCCGAAAGAGCTTACGCATGCTATGGCGTAATTGCTCTTTTTGCAGCAGGGTTGGTGCAGTTTCTTTGCGGAGGAAGTGGTAACACGACTACGGGACGAGGAAAGCTACAGATTCAGATCCATCATGACGATGCGAGTAAAACCCAGAAGGAAAAGGTCATCAACAAACTGGTAGAAGATGAAGAAGATGTTGAACTAGAAGAAAGGTCCTCTTCAGGAGAGCCGAAACAAGTGATAGAAGAGGCGGCTTCAGAGCAGAACGAAGGTAAAGAACCCCAACAACAAGCATCGGAATCATCTACGACTGGACTATCCAATTCATCCCGCACATCATCAAGCTTGATAACCAATCTTCTGAAAGACAGTAACCCGATCTTTTTCTTTGGGCAGAGTACGACATTGCGAGCGTTGGCAGTTGTCTTACTGTCCCGCGTGGTGCCCATATACGTCCATTCTCTGGACTCCGTATATCTGAGAAAAAAATTTGGAGAAAAAGGGTGGGGTGGTGGTAACGAAAACAGAAGCGAGGTTTTTATGATATGAGTGGAGAAGAAATTCAAATTTCACTTGAATATGCTATCATTTCGAAGCTACTAGTATTCTAATTCCATTGTATGTACTTTACCTGGTTGTTTCAATCCGCTTCATCTTCGATGAGGTCGACGATGAGTGAGATGACTACGTACGTAGTACCCTTTCATTCACACGGCTTAGCATGGCATTGAATACCTGTCTCGTCGTGGCTGCTATGGATCTGGATACTCACGGTTCGCCTGCCTGGAAAAATATACGGGACACGAAGTCTTGCGTTGGAAAGCTTAGGATTAGAGGTCGTTTACTGTAGTTTTTGTAGTATCTTGCACTGTGGCTATGGTGCTTCTTGATCATTTTGTGCTGTGCTGTTGGTCTTTCTCGGCGAGTCAATTAAGAGAAGCGTGATTCATCAAGGAAGGTTTGTTCGTCATCGGTAAGGTGTAGCCCAAGTAATACCTCTAAGACTCTGCTGTTTATCATCCGGCATTTGGCAGACGCAGTCGTCACAAACCTGGGGCTGCGCTCTTATGGCAACTTTTGAGTATATCGAAATCCTTTTTCTGATCTTGTATACAAGACAGCATGTTGCTGCACCTTGATTGTGCAACGTTCATATCAGAATCGTGAAGCAAGGCACCACGACGGAACAGAGGCGTGAGGCACAGGAGCCAGAAGGAGCCGATGCTGGAGGACAAGATGGCACAATAGCGGAACACCCACCAGAACCTGGTGACCCGCAAGAAGTAGGAGGACAAAACAGACGATGTATAGAAGAGCCGAAACAAGGGACAGAACAAGAGCAAGAATCTCTTTCCTCTGCGACTTCGAATCAGGACTTTCAGCGGTTGTTGCAGTTCCACGCAGTCCTCGAAATAGTCGGCCATCTAGGAACGCGCTTTTCCAAATCTCCGGGAAAGATTCAGGCATTGCATATGCTCACAGTTTTGCATTTTGGCGGCGACTCACTAGACCGACTCTTCCAAAAAGAAGCCGGGAGGCTTAAGCTTGGGCAGTTAAGAAGAGGACTTTCTTAAGTTTCATTTCGATCTCGGTTGATCGCACGACGACGCCCTGACTGATACTAGTCTAAGTAAGGGAATCGACTTACATCACAGCATGTTTCGTAGGTCAACAAATGCTGTACTGGCTTTTGATCACATCCACACTACCCGAATCAATTGTTGCCCATCACTAACTACTAAGTTTGTTCCCTCAACAAACCTACTTATTTTCATTCCTTGGCGTTCTTGCTGCTCAACAAGGGAACTTGTTGTTTTTCGCTTCCCTATTGATGCCAAGCGTCTTCACGAAGCTGTTTCAACTAGCCTCACGGACTAAGAACCGCTTCTTGGCTTTTCTTCTGGACCCCTACATAGTCGCGGCTTTGCTGGAGGCGTCAAATTGCTTCTTGGTGATTCCATGGGCATATCGGCAAATGAACAAAGGGTAAGCGCGAGGAGGCTTTCTAGGTAATAGAAATAGAAAGTCTAAGACTAAGACTACTTATACTCTATTTAAATACTATTAAAAATCCCCGAACACTCTTCGCCTTTAATGTGAACACTAAAGGACCTTCAAGACGCCTTTAATGTGAATGCTAAAGGATTCCCCTCCCCTTTAATGTGAACACTAAAGGACCCTTAAAGCGCCTTTAATGTAAACACTAAAGGACTCTTAAGGCGCCTTTAATGTAAACACTAAAGGACTCTTAAGGCGCCTTTAATGTAAACACTAAAGGACCCGCGCGGCGCCTTTAATGTAAACACTAAAGGACCCTTAAGGCGCCTTTAATGTAAACACTGAAAGCCTTCCACGTGGGCAGCAGATGGCCTCGAGGGAAACAAGAGCAGCAACATCAACAGCAAAAACAACAAGAACAACAACAGCAAGAACAACAACAAGAAGA